TAATAAGGAACGGAGGGAGTATGTCTTAGACATCATTATTTTTTGCCCGTATTTTTTATAGCAAGTCATATGTAGCATTATTGTTATATGTGACAACGAGAGAGTCTAATCTCAAAAACCTAGCCTATTAAAAAAAAGTCCTTTGAATTTATAAACCTCATGACATTTGTGAGATTTCCTAATAGGGAACTTGTAACCAAGGAACAAAAAACCGGATCGGGAATTAAACCGGTCGAGGCAGTGAGTCAAGGGTTACTGGTCAGATCGGGGTCGGACCGAGGTCGGACCGGTCATATTAAAATAATATAATTCAATTTCACCATATATCGTATGTATCAATGGATATGGTCTGGAATTTTCAAATCAAAAAATTACCCTCATAAAGATCAAATTCTCTTTAGACCTATAAAATTCACCTTCACGATAGGATATCATACACAATAATTTTTATATCCAGAATCAATTCAATTCAATCCAATGAAACAAAATCTATATTATTTCAGCAAAAAAAAAAAATCATCAACTACTTTTCCCTCCTACTTCAAGTGTTCAGAGATTAAAATAAAATTTTCATCTCCTGAATCCTTCCTTCCCAAACCGTTCGACAGCCAGAGAGAAAGAAGGAACAAAGGCACTTGTTTAATCCGAAGAACACAATCTACCTAAAAGGGAACAGTTTCTAGCTTACCCAAAACTCAATGCACCGAAGGGCGAAGGGACAATGTCGATTGGGATTTGAGGGAGTCCTGCAACTTTTGATTCTGCTTTTGCCTTCTACGAACTGCGAATGCGAGAGGCGAGAGACTTGCGAGTTCAGAGCCTTAGACTTTTGGTTCTACCTTCTGCAATGGGAGTGGCGAAGGCGAAGCAGGAGGTGGTGACTGGTGAGGTTGAGGGAGACTCAAGCTTGTGATGACTGGTGGCGAAGGTGAAGCAAGGAGCGACTAAACAAGGAGCTCTACCATAGGCTGTGCTGTCAGCGACGCTAGGGAGCAGGGATTTTGGAGGAGTCGATCGCAATTTTGGTTTGAGGGAGGGAGAACAGGTGCGCGAGTAGAGGGGAGTCAGGGGAGGCCGAGAGCGAAGTAGGGATTGGGGAAGTCGCTGAACCAGGTAAGCCGAAAGGGAAGAAGAACCGAAACTAAAGAAGTTCCTTTTTTTTAAAACGACGTCGTTTGAGGGGTCTGGCTTGCCAAAAAAAATAAACCGGGCAACCCACTGAACCGGGTTACCCCGGTTTAATACCGGTTTTTTCCGGTTAAACCGGTTTTTTACCGGTTCATTAGACCACTGGTCCAACAAGTAAACCAGACCGGACTGCAAACTGGTTCACCGGTTTTCCGGTTGAATTGGCCGGTCCGGTCCGGTTTTTTTTTTCCTTGCTCGTAACACTATGATACCTATCACTCTTGCTCTTCTCGAGCCAACTTAAGCCATGCTTGTTTTCGTCGTCACCCTCTCGCTGATCAACAAATATACTGTATACAGAGGAAACATTCCCGTTTTTTCGACTCCTTTTTTTTTTCTTCTCTAACTATTCAAGCAAATAATACACGTATAAGTCTTAAAAGACAATATATAAATTAAATAATTTCAAAGTTCACATTTGAAATCCAAAGTTAAATATTCTTTTAGTTCTCATCTTCATCATCCAAAAAATCAAATATTCAACCATTCAGAAGTAGTAAGGAGGTGGTGTTATGTCAACAAATTTCATCAACTTCATTCTCATCAGCTACAAAAAAATATTTAATAAATTGTTCCATTTTCATATTAACTCGAAAATTAAATTAAAGGAGTGCCTGCCATGCGTTAAGCCTGTACAAAAAAGAAAATGAAAACGGGCTCACACTACATAGCGATAATAATATCTTAATTATTTTCACTCATTAACAAGGCATCACACCAGGACATCTTTCAACGTGATGATATATACTATTGTTTTATATTATTTGCAATGACCAAATTTTGCACCTGAATTTTTATACTGATTCCTAGCTATTACTACCATATTTTTCCTCGGCAAAGAAACTGTTTTTACTATATTTATCAATTAAAATTATAAAATATAATTCGTTCAAGACGCGTAAAAAATTAATGACTTACAAAGAATTATATTAAATTAACCATTTTATTGTTGAATAATTATATATTTAACGTGATTTAATGATAAAAAGGGATGGCATATAAATATTCTGACTGGGATTATGGACTTAATTACAATATATTAACATCGTTTAGTTGATAGATCTTGTGCTAAGGTTTGGCCTTTTAATTCCATAGAAGGGGGATGACGATCAAAATAAAGTATAGTACGAGAACCTCCCCTTAATCATTTTATTAAATTAAATGAGATAAGGACAGGGATTTTCCTTTTTTTAATTAAAAAAGGCCCCGCCCGGGCCCACCGAGATTCCAACTTCCATCATTCGCGGCCGAATGAACGTTGCGGATTGCAATAGCAGCAACTGCCACCAGATAATCAGATATACACGGCGCGAATAATAATTTTTTTTACATTTTTAATTTTTGAATTTCCGAGACAAGAAGAACAATTTAAAATTTAAAATTACCTCGTTGTAAAAATTTAAGAATCATACGCTATGTTTATAACCTTAAATAAGGATACTACATTAATATGTGAAATATTAAAATCACGAGTAATATAAAACACAAGAATATAGAAATGACATTTTGTCTAAGTTAGCAGTTATTTTTGTATAAATACAGAGTTCCTTTAAATTATATAAAAATTTTAGAGTCTGATAAACATAATACTTTTAAGTTTAAATTCTATTTTTATAAAGTATCTGATATCTGACATTATTAGTCAGGGTCAAGTGAGGCTTGAACAGAAATAAATCCCAAAAATATCTTTTGCTTTCACACACACATTAAATTCAAATTTTTTTCTATGCAACAATATTGAATTTTCATTTGAAAAATTGTCCCTGTGATTTAATTTGGACTTGAATTTGAATTATAATGTAATATTACGATATAATTTTAATTTTGAGAGTATACTAGAAAAGTTATATGTAAAATAACATAAAGAACATCCTAATACAATGCAATGTATACTCCGCTTGTCCTAAACATAAAACTGATTTGGTATTTTAAATTATATTACAAATTATGTTTTATATTTAAGACTGGAAGAGCATTATTCTAGAATTAATGAAATGAAATGTTATATTTATTTAATAGTCTGCCCACCGTCGTAAATTGAGAGATTTTTTTTATTGAACTTTGATCGTTAAAAGAAAAGTAATATTGCACCAGATTTAAGAAATTATGTGAAACATTTGAATTTGTTATAATTTTTTAACAAAATAATCAAGTATCATAAATCTCGTGATATGACTTGAGGATCCTTGTTAGCATCATGAAAAAAGCAACTGTTTTATAGCCGGAAAAAAAAAATCCTTCAATATTAATATGATAAATCATCTAGAAAGAATTACAATTAAATCTTATAAAAAAAAATTACAAAATAAGTCTCAGAGATTATCATTTTTTACTGTAAAACTTCTTATTACATACTGCTCAGTTGTTATTATGATTTTTTAGTAATTATTTTTTTCTGTAAAATCGATTGTAATTCTCCCAGTCATCTACTCTCACATTTTTTGTTGGGAAATGGGTCCCATGGGATCCGTGACGTTGGGGAGTTTGACTTAAATGGTCGTGGGCCTTTATGACCGCCACGTGTTGATGGAACGAGGCATTGCTTTACGCGCGCACGTGGCACCAGATTAGCGCCGAAGGCGGGAAGCGACGCGGAGCTTATCCAATTCCAATGTTTGCCCCCAAAGCACTTGTCAGAGTCTTAAATAAAAGCAATAGGCTCCTACGGGGCCCACCTCTCATGCCCAGGCCCGTTATTGCAAAAGCGAAAGCCCATTTTGTCATTTCCATCTCCATTCCGCAAATACGGCGTCGTCAAGTAACTCCAATGCATTATTATCTTCCCGTTCAGATGTTGTCAATTCAATTCTTTAATCTCCTCCACGCTTCACACAACAGATATATGATATTTGCATTTATAAGTTAATAATCGAGTTGGTTAGATATTCCTTTTTGTCTTGTTTATGATGGTATAATAATATGTGAATTGATGTATCTGTTCCATAAAATATTTTCTCTAATTCTATTTGCATTTTCACCCCCCACATGCGTGTGGCATTTAGTTAGGCAACTTTTCCCCCCCGAATGACAAGAAAATGGTATACGACTAAATAAAGAATAAAACATGTTTAAAAATGTGTTTTCAGCTATGTGTTATTGAAAAAAAATCAAAATTTGATCTTTAAAAAAATTAGAACATTCTGTTTTTGTTAGGTACATGTATCATTCTATTGAAAGTAATTCTATTTGAGATACTGTTGAGTGATAAACGTAAGTACTTTTTTCTAAAAAAAATTTGAATTTTCGTTTACCATGTTTTGAAGGAATAACTCCTTTATTTATAAATTAGAACATTTTTTGCTAAGGGTGATAACACTCACAATCTCATCAAAGATATTCATTGGAAGAAGATTCTTAATATGTTAAGTGGAAATGAAATTTGGAACATTAACTGTAAGGCAATATAAAGGATAACCTTCATGTATCCCTGCCCGAGAGAGGATTGAACAATCGTATGCCCATAAACTCAACTAATACATTGGGAATAAAGCCAAGTTATATGGCGACGCCTTCACTTTATTATGTTGAAAAACAAAGATTCTCTGAGATTTTATTTAGAAAAGAGGAACAGACAATATACACGCTCCTTATCACATAACATTTCGAGTTTGACATTTTAGCATTGCTCAAAAAAGGAACGTAATTTTTGGCTCTAAAGTTTTAAAGTAGGCAACGTGACTTACTTCTTGAGCTCAAGAAATTGATCGAAGACCTGTCATTTTGGATTTAAAATCTTGAAAAATTATTTGCCTTCAAATTCCTTGAGTTTTCTCACCTAGGTTTAATGACAATTAGACAAAGGACCCTAAAAGGATCAAAGACGGGAAGAGTAATCAAATTTAAATGACAAAAAAGTCTAGTCTTTTGCTGGTTCAATGCCAAGAACCAACAGAAGAAATTCACCGGTATAACGAATAGCATGAAAAGTTAAAAACTCTACCAGATTGAAGTGCCAATTAAAGTTTCAATCATGCCCGACATACGATGCTTTTAGCAAATTTTGGGGACCGCATTACATGCTAGAAAGAGTCGATACATCTATCATGCAAAAAGATCTATACCCCAAAACCTTGCAGGCTGATTAGTTCTATATTTCCTGTCCAAACCTTTGATGAGTTCCATGTCTTCTTGTGACAGCTCAAAATCAAAGACGTCAAAATTCTCTTTCAATCTCTCCAGTTTTGATGTTTTGGGAATGACCACAGTATTCCTTTGAATGCCCCAGCGAAGAGCAATCTGGGCAGCAGTCTTCTTGTGCTTCTCAGCAAGAGCCTGGAATATGGGGAATAAACTAATAAATCACTTTCACAAAGCATTCAGGCCAAAAGGAGAAAGCCTAGAGTCGTAGAGCTCACTTTCAGAACTTGATCATCCAAACACGAAACTGTACCAAACCATTCTGTGTTTGCTGTAGCACCTCCCAGCGGAGTATGGGCCGTGACACAAATTCCATGCTTCTGACAAAATTTGACAAGAGAATCGCGCTGAAAGTATGGGTGAGTTTCAATCTGATTAACTGCGGGCTTTATCTTGGAGTATGCCAAGCAATCTCGGGTCAGAAAGATATCATAGTTGCTGCAAGGAGCTTTTCGTCAGGCAGTGATTTTAATAAATAGAATCAAATATCTCAAGATTAGCTTTCTCAAGCCAACCCCAGGAAAGTATAGACCTCAGATGAACTAATAATATACATCAAAGTTTAGCAGCTAACTCTTGACACTGTAGATGGTTCATCAGATGCATCCATATTTTATTATTTATACATTTCACTGGAAATCTAAAACCAACAAGGATAACCTGGTTTGAATCAGGTAATACAAAAGTGAAGTGTAGTAGGTGAGAAAACTTGAGAATTAGAAATTTGACATGGATACATCAACAAAAATACAAGAAATTTTGAATATTTATCATATATGAGAGTGATGCAGGTCAAGTAAACATGGGTGATATATAATCGGTAATCACTTGAAGAGATTGTAAGCAATAACAGCCAGCATAGGCAAAGGTGAACAAAAAAATCGGGTAATGCTTCTTGTAATATTTCTCATTCACCCTCAGTTAATATATACAAGTGTGAAGTAACATGCTCTAAACTCAAGATTCCCTTCTTCTGCCAAGTTAGGAACCAATAGAATAAGCCCACTAGCTACACCAATTAACAACAACGAAACCCTTGATGTTGGCTAGCTGCTAGATAACAGCCAAGCACAGACTGCATTAAAGTAGAAAATCTGAATGATGAGAAAAAGGGTAAACTTGATCTAAGAGTTGAAAGAGTGCATTTGAAAGTGTGTGAATGACGAGAATTGTATGCAAAACAAACGTGGTTGTATATTCTTTCTTCATGCACCAAAACATAATATTCATTTCTTTTATCACACCATGAGTAGATAAAACTTTTATCAGCGTTAATCCTAGACAGGATTCGTGGAGCATCTACTGGAATATAGTGATGGTTCATAGAGCCAATTGCACCTGATCCCTATGCTACGAACCAAACCCAATGAAACAAGTTCTTCCATAGCGTGCCAAGTAGTTTCCAGGGATATGGTAGTGTCTATGTCCAGGACCCCATCTTCACCCAAAGCACTGTCAGTTGTACCCACTCCTGCATGTATGGAGATTATAACAAAAATAATCTACAAACCAAATAAGTATAATTAAATCACTTGCTGATCCTAAACTTGACCAATTTAACCTGGTAGACGCTAATTTAGAAAAATTGGTAATTGGTAAATTAACTACAAATGAGAAGAGAGATAAACCACATGAGAAACCGAGTTTAGATGTCAAAAAGCTCATTTCTAATAGTCTCAATATTGAATAGAGATTCAGCTCTGATCCTAAAATTCTGGTGTCAACGTTTATTGTATATCTGTATGCCATATTAAAACCAAAAGCTTGATTATTTGATCTTTACAGTTTTGAAGCTGAAAAAAGATTAACATTTAACAGTTCCGTCTATATATGCCAAAAAAGTAGACATCAAGTCAAACATAGCAAAGTGAACACACCAGTATGCCGTGTGGCTACAGGGAAGTGAACAAGATATAAATCCAGGTAATCTAACTTAAGCTTCTTCAAACTGTCTTTACAGGCCTCAACAACGTGCCCATGGTCAGAATTCCATAGCTGCAAGTTTACAATGCCAAGGAAAGCTACAATTATTCTCTGAGCAACGACATCCTACTTAGCATCAAACAGATGAGACAATCCAGGATTTGATAGAAAATGAACCTTGGTAGTGATGAAAAGATCCTCCCTCTTCACTAGCCCAGTTTTGAAAGCCTCAGCAAGAGCGTCTCCAACTTCTGCTTCATTCTGATAATCGGCTGCAGTACATTCAAAATCTTGTCAACAGCCAAATGCTCCATTAACACATAGGAGGGTCATAAAGTCAATGCTTCAATGCTGGAGCACATACTCCACCCAAAAGAAAACAAAAAGCCGTGGGTGTTCAGCACATCCCACGCATTAGTATTACACAGAATGCATTGTTTTAAATTAAATAGATCACTTTTTAGATTTTTGATGCTAACGTGTCAAAGTCAGTATCCAACTTCCCAACCTGATGAAATACACGAGACCAAATAGCTGAAATACATCCAAATCATTGTCAACCGCTACGTGCTTTTGAACATGTACCAGGGCATAACAGTTAATTATTCAAAGCTATGAAGCATGGACATTACGAAAATTAACCGTGTGTTTGTTCAACACAAATAGTTACCAGTATTATACACAATGCCATATGTTAAATTGCACAAAATCACTTCTAGATTTTGTGGTGTCTACATATAGATGTCAGTATGCAAGCTTCCCAGCCTCAACATGGAAGCAACCAAAAAGAAAATCTGAATAAATCAAAGAAACTAATCCATCAAATCAAAACCCACAAGTTTCCACAGGTGATATAGTGAAGAACCCGGGAAAAAAAATTGAAAGGTTTGTACTTCAAATTATAGTATTTGCATGTTTTAAAAGCGTTTAGTCCAATTGGTTAAAAAGCATGTAAAATCAAGAAAGTCAAGGAGGTACAATCCCTGCATCTGGAGAAAAGAATAATGGGCAAAACAAGTAAGCTTTCACAAAATTATGCAAATTGCCGGATCATTTAAAAAATAAAACAACATATAAAGATCCAAGAAGAAAAAAAAAAAGAAATCGAAGAAAGGAATAAATCAGCGGAGTTGAAGAATCCCAATCTCCAGGGGGATTTTGAAGGATACCAGCACAATCAAAGTGGCGATAACCGAGCTTGATAGAGTTGATTATAAGGTCCCTGATTTCTTGACCTTGCATGCGCCACACGCCCAGACCGATTATCGGCATCTTGAAGCCATTGTTGAGTGTTATTGCCATGTTTACTCTCACTCTCCTCTCGTCTACTCTCTTCGTCCACTTCCGCAGCCAGTTATGCTTTCAAGTCTCAGCTTTTATCCCCGAGACTGTGATGCTCTCTATTTGGAGGTGGGGCCACTCCATCCCCCCCGGGCCTCGTCTAAACATTATCAGTCACAAAAACAATCTCTTTGCCCATGGATTTCGATGGCCAGATATAATTTTTAAGTAACATTTTCTAGCGAAGCTAATACATACAATTTGACAAATTTGATTTTCTTTTTCAAATTTTTTAGTTATTTTAAATAAATCTAAATATCTTTTTTTTTTCACAAACTAAAACATTTCGAATAGAATTACTTCTAATAATTAAAAAAATAACTATGTTAAAAAAAAAAAGACTATATTTGACGGACGAAGGGGCACAAAGCCCTACAAATGTGGCCCAATAAACATGTTATTATTATTATTTTTTTCCTAAAACATATGTATTTTTTTATTAGAGATAATTCTATTTAAAGTATTGTCAGATACTAAATATGGACACCTCTTCTAATGAGAATTTAAACCTTGATTCATTGTGTTATAAGCGGTTATCCCTTCCATTAGACCAATGCCGTTGCTATTAAACATTTTATTGAACATTATAAGTTCTATGAAATTTAGCCAACATTTCGGATCACTTGACCCGAATTGAACTGGGGACCCGGGGTCTAATTATAAAACTAATGAACACATTCTCTCCACGTCCCTCCTTTCCTCACCGGTAATCATAATCGTACGGAGACAGGGAGAGCCTGAGAAAGATCGAAACTTTGAGGATCTCTGAGAAGAAATAACTATTTCCAGATCTTTCATACGTTGTTGTAGATCCGTTGCCGATAATGAGTTCCTTCAGCGGCGATGAGACGGCACCGTTTTTTGGTTTCCTCGGAGCCGCAGCTGCGCTCGTTTTCTCCTGTAATTTGATCTCCTTATTCTGTTTCTTATATATTTTTTTAATCGCTCATTGTTTTTGAAGTAGATCTGTATGGTTCTTTTCACGATCTGTATTATCTCCTCTTGATTCGGTGGTCGAAAAACAATTGGGACTGTTATGCTGAGTTTGTTCTTCGGTTTGTATTTCTCTGGGAAAATTGTTGCGAAAAGGATGGGCTTACTTTATGGTTTTGTATGTGTGTCATTAGGAAGTAATTGTGATCAATTCAGATATACTTTGATCTATTTTGAAACCTTCTTCGTAGGATTCGAGAAACCGATGCGAATAGTAGTAAATCAGTATCTACCAAAAACCTGAAAATCCATTTGTACGTAATTCAAAATGATTCCAATCGATATGATGATCGGATTAAGAATTTTCAGTTTGACGACGGTTACTTTGCAGGCGGGTAGAAATCCAATTGCTATCTTTATTCTAATAAACTTAGGAGACCGGGTATAGCTATCGAAATTTCTTCACTTTATTTTGGAAGTAAATTATATAATCGTTGATTTTTCATTTGGTAGTTAAAAAAACCTTTAAGAGAGATCGGATCCAGACTTACATTGATTTTATTGTAGGTATGGGAGCTGCCTACGGCACAGCAAAGAGTGGGGTAGGTGTGGCTTCGATGGGTGTGATGAGACCTGAGTTGGTAATGAAGTCCATAGTTCCTGTTGTTATGGCTGGAGTTTTGGGTATTTATGGCCTTATTATTGCTGTGATAATTAGTACTGGCATAAATCCTAAGGCCAAATCTTATTACCTCTTTGATGGGTATGCACATCTCTCCTCTGGTCTTGCCTGTGGCCTTGCTGGCCTTTCTGCTGGAATGGCTATTGGTATTGTTGGTGATGCTGGTGTGAGGTATGATCCTTGTACCTTGGCACATGATATATGAGTCTTTTCTTAATTTGGTTTCTTGAGAATCTCGCTTACTACTTTTTCTTAAGTTGCTTTGATTTGAAGTTTTCTTTTTGGCCTCAACCCCGTAGCATTAGTAACATTAAATACCTATCAATTGATAGTGCCAGGGAAAAAGACTTATTAATTGACTTGTGTAAGAAATGCATTGCTAGTAGATCAATGAGCACATCGTAGATGTCGAATGTCGTATGATCCCTGATGGAACATAAATTTGTCTTTGCTAGCATGTTCTTGTGATGTGATGGATATGAATCATATGATGCATGTCTTTCTTGCCATTGATTATGCAACACATTCCCATTGAGTAACTATTTTTCCTCTACAGAGCTAATGCTCAGCAGCCAAAACTTTTTGTTGGAATGATTCTCATCCTGATCTTTGCCGAAGCTCTTGCTCTCTACGGCCTCATCGTTGGTATTATTCTGTCTTCACGTGCTGGCCAGTCCAGAGCTGATTAGGAAAGGAGCTGTGCTGCAAAATTATTCTTTCATTGCCTACATGTTTCTACCTTTTTATTTGGGGAAACAGGGGCTTGATTTCTTAGATGTTCTGAAGTTAGTGATGCACTTGGACAGCACTTGCAGGCTTTAATAATGATCTATGTGGAAGTAGTTGCTCAATCTGCCAGTGGGTGTTTATTAGTTTGTTTAAAGTAGGTTTTCCCTTGCCCAATAAGGCTTCTAAAGCTGACTCTTTCCTCGACAATGTATTATGCCGTATGATCTTAGAGCCAATGTAGTTTCTGGTGTTGTGGGAACTGGTCCTGTAATGATTTTATATTATCAATGAATCTTCAATGTGTTCATAGGCCTTTTGCCATATCAGACTTTGAAATCAGAATCGATTTTGGTCAAACTGCCCGTTTGGAGTAATAATGATTTTTGTAGGTGATATCTGATCAAAAGCAACATTGCTTTATTATGATTTCTATCTAGAAACCTTTTTCTGCATTTCATTTATTAAAATCTCTTTTAAACGTATAATTACCAAAACGATACTTCTTTAGTAAAAGTTTTTAATTTTATAATTTTTAGTTAGTTTCAATAATGACATGAATGTGATTTTTTTTTTTTTTAATTTTAGTATGACAAATAATAGTTATTTTAAAGTGCACATGTTAAATAAAAGAATTTCGGTTGAGCAAGGTGTGTGTTGTCTGTTGTGCACTTGTAGCAGAAGTTTCTGGGAAGACTGGTATTTCCTTTTTTTTCTTTTTCTATTTGTTTTTTTTTTCAGTCTATAAGACTCCATGACACAAACAAGACAAAAAGGCCAAAACAGCCATGTGAACTGGGAAGCAGCGGCATGTGTTTTTGGGGCGGGGGTGGGTGTTTTTTTTTTTTTTTTTTCAGTGTTATTATCATGTTTAGACTTTGGACGGGATTGGGGGTAAATTTCCCACCTTACAAATAACTAACCTTCAAAGTTCAAACAGTCTGAAATTACACGATGAGTCTATTATTTATTGCATAGATACTCTTTAAGTCCTAAATATAAGACCTATTTTGTAGTGTAAATGGTTCTAAATATAAGATCCATTTTGTAGTGTAACCATAAGACCCATTTTATAGTGTAAATTACACTACAAAATGGGTCTTATATTTAGAACCTACATTATAAAATGAGTTTTATATTTAGGACCAGAGGAGTATATAACTTAGGGGAAATTAATCTGCATATTCTTATGCTAATATTTGCTTCAGTTTTCAATTACTTCCTTACTGTTGAGAAGTTTATAAGCCAGTCCTCATAGTTTTCAATAATCACATAATTGTTCTTTAGAGGATTGCATCGAAATTCTTGTAATGCTGATATGCGTACTTCTGATGACTCCTCATTCTCTTACTCCTTTGCGCTTGCAATTCTAAGCTACGTTTTCATTACTCATTAGAAGATAAAATTGAAGCAACCTATATTACCACATATGATGTCATCACCATGCCTTATATAATGGACTTTACATCAGACATTACTACCAACACAGTGCAACTAATTATGGGCTTTTCAAGGAGATTACATGTAATTCTCATGCACCAAATCCAACCAAATATGCTGCTATTATAGTTTTCCACAAAGCAATTAGTATGAGTTTAATCACCTCATCTTCCTCAGAAAACAATCAGGCAAGCTTGGCCTGATGTTGTCCATGATTTTTCTCCTGACATGCGAGCCTTCAACAAATGAAAGCATGTCCTGTTATTGATATATCATAGGATTGTTCAAGCAAGACGTATGCCTTCAACAAATGAAAGCATGCCCGGTTATTGATATATAATGGGATTGTTCAAGCAAGACATATGCCTTTTCTGCTTTGCATGTTACGTATCTGCGCTCACTTTGTACTACCACATCTGCTCTGCTACAGTTTGCCAATAGCCATCCACCACCTCCCTCCGTCTCCAACGCCCATCTATATGGCCGGCGCCGGCCTATACGGCTGTTGCCACCGTAACGAATCCGGCCTGTGACAATACCGCCTCCTTTACTCTGATCCCAATGAGTCTGAGCTGCAACACGCGCACGTCGATGACGGGCTGACCGGCTGACGGCCTCCCTTGCTTCAATGGACATCAATAACGACGATCATCATATCCCAGACGCCGGCAAGGCGACAACGTACTCATTCCCACACCCAAGATCCTCTTTGTTCGTTTGCCTCTGTTCGCGATCAAGCTGAGTTTAGACTTGGAAGCAGCAAAACAATTTTGAATGGTGTTTGGTTTGCCATCTAGGATGATTCATTCATCACATGCTTCTGCAAAACTTATAAATGCCTTTTAAAATATAAATATTTATTTGTGATGCCTCTTTTTCCCCCTCTAAATAGGCTTTTATAATCAAAATTTTTACATTTTCTTTTAATTTTATTACTACTATTTTCTTTAATGTATTAGTCCCGTCTTTTGTTCGCTGGTTAAAAAAAAAAAATCCTATCTTTTGTTTTATCTTATTTCATTAGTGTAGAATTAAAAATATAATAATTTGTTACCCAAAAAAATAATAGTTTAAGTACTGTTGACTTGACCATGATGGAATCTTGGTTAAATATCCGTCACAGTTAAATATTAACAGTTGCACCAAAGTCTTGGAAGGGCTGATGACTGGCTGGCCAAGGAAGGAAGAGGGGGGTTGAATGGTTGATGACAAGTGTTAGACGGGATGTTTTGGTAAGATTAAAACTATAATTTTAAAAGTGTTTTTATAATATAATTAAGAAGTAAATATGTGAAGGAGTTTGTTTCGATTTATGAAAAAATACTTCTAAAAAATGCTTATTAGATTACCCAAACATCTCCTAGGATGATTTCAATAATTAACTGTCAGAATTTGGAATGGTTCCTTTCCCGTTTTTATAGGAGAAACTAGAAAACATGTGATTTTAATGTCACTGAAGGTTCACAAATGTTAAAATATATTACTTTGGGTCTTTAATATAAGAGTTCGTTTGACTTTTATTTTAGTCTTAATTATAAGATTTTAATATATTTTGTTTCCCATACTTATACTTTTTTTAAAAAATAGTCTTTGTAATAATAATAATTCTAACCAATATACTTGATTAGCAAGTATATTTAGAAAAGATACACCTATTCATTACAAATAATTAACTTACTTATATTAAGGACCAAAAGTAGTACTACCTTTAGTCCTTAATATAAGAGTTAATTGACTAATTTAAGTAAATTAAAAAAGTTTGTTGAGTTAGTTATTTACAATAAATATGTGTTATTTTCCTTCTAACATCCTTATTGATTATATGTATTAGTTAGAACGACTATTTAATGGACATTTTACATGTGCAATTATTATAAGGACTATTTTAAAAAAATAGATAAATATGAGAGATAAAGTGAATTGTAGGGGGTGTTTGGCATTCTCAAAACCGCGGTTTCAGAAGCACTTTTCCGCAAAACGAGGTAACCTCCTCCACATATTTACTTCGTAGTCCGTAAAAGCACTTCTAAAACTATGGTTTGGTTTCTATCCAAACACTCCCTATTAGTCTTATATTTAAGATCCAAGTAAATATCAAATTAACTTTTATATTAAAGATTGGAGGTAGTATTTCATAAATATTATACACATCTAATTCTTCTATTTCTCTTTTACTTATCACTATTTGATGAAAAAACAAGAAAAGTAATTTGTGGGTCCTATAATTTCAAAATCAGCTTCTTGTATTTTACATCAAGTTTTTATAGTTTTAGCGGATTTTAATTACATATATATAAATATATATTATATTCTTATAATTTCACCTAATTTTTAATTATGTTGTTGCAATTTTTTTAATGTCAGTTATTTTTCCTTTGAAAGACACCTAATATTTGTAATGTTCCAACAGTTAAGGGTTGAAATACTATTGATTCACAAGTAACGTGATTGGTGAAATACTCTTTCGATGTTTAATATAAGACTCATTTAACTAATTTGATTAGATTAAGGAAGTTAGGTAAATTAGTTAATTATAAGAAAGTGACACATTTTTTCTAAAACACCATAATCATATTTCTTAATACCCCTCTCTCTCTTCTATTTGATTATGGTTGAAGGAGTATCCATAGGGATAATTTAGAGAAAATTAATAAATATGATAAACGAGTTTTATATTTATGATTAAAACTAATTCAAGAATTGGATCATATATTAAGGATCGGAGGAATACATCAATTATAAGAAAATAATGAAGCTAGAGGTATAACCATGAGTAGTACGGAAGATCTATTGAGAAGAATGGAAGTGATTAACGCGAGAACCCCTCCAAATGTTCTACTTGATGGAACCATTTTGGGATGAGTTTTCGATGTGCTTGAAAAATGTATTGTTGAATTTGGTCTTATAAACAATCACACAACATCTCCTACCCATAGATACAAAATTATTTTTTAAACAAGAATTAAATTAAAATAGTAGATCTTTAAACTCTCTATTATTATGACAGAGGAAAAATAGGATTTTCCGACAAAAATGAGATAGACGGTGAGTGAAAAACACTCATTATGGAATCAATCAGTACTAAAAAGGATTTAATTCAAAAAATAGTAAAACTATAAGAATTTGGCTTAAAAATACAAAAGTTTAATTAAAGATCAAACAAGAGATAAAGACGAGGATATATGATGCGTTCACCAGTGAAGAGGGATGAAGTTGAAGGCAACATTCTTCTTTGTTATTTGTCACGTTAGAAGTTTTAAGACAACATCTCAAGTGCTTAATGTAGTAATTAATCTCTATAGTGACTTTACATGTTAAACAGTTCTACGAAGGAGTAGTTTTAATACATGTGATTAAAAAAAAGAATATCTATGAAAATGTAAATTTTTCTATTGTCTTTTTCATCCCGAGACTCTGGCCATGTTTGAAACAGCTTATAAGTAACCTTTTAATTATGATTTATGGAGTACGAGGCAAATATGTGAGAAGAGTTTTGTCTCGACTCATGTAAAATGTGTTTATAAGGAATTCACACTGCTGTCCCAAACAGACCCAGATATCATATACTACCTCCGGTCCTAATTATAAGATTCAGTTGACTAATTTGAAGAGATTAAGGAAGTAAGTTAAGTTAGTTATTTGTAACAAATAAGTGTTGTCATTCCTAAAATATCCTTGCTAATTAAGTGTGTTGGTTAGAACTATCATTATTAGTAGAGCTGGTAATACGGACTGGGCCCGCGGGCCCAGCTCGCCAGCCTGCCAAAAATGGCGGGCTCGGGTTGGCAAAATGCCAACCCGCCAAGGTGTGGGCTACTCCAGCCCGCACCGTTTTCAGCCTGCTTTTTTGTTTTTTTTTAATTTTAATTTTATATAATTTCTAATATATTATACAATATAATTGGAGGATTTTAACCTCCAAATTTCATATTTACATCTTCTTATCCATATAATTGCATATGTAATACATACATAAAAGATCTACTTAATTAATTTGGATAAGAAAATAGTCAAATTAATTATTTAGAAAAATATGTGTTAGTTTTTCTAAAATATCTCTCAAATTATAAATTAATCATCACATTATTTTATTATAACTCATTACTCAAGTTTAAAACTCCAAGTCTAATTTTAACATTATAAACTAAGCTCAAACCTATACAAATAATAATATTTTTTTTTTTAAAAAAGTGCCCGCCAAGGCGGGCTGGCATTTAAGTGCGGGCTACTTCAGCCCGCACCACTTTTGGCCCGCACCGCTGCGGGCTGGCCCGTATCCGCACCACCAGCCCGCATTCCCAGCTCTAATTATTAGAAGGACTATTTGGGAAAAATGCATAAATATGAGAGACAAAATGGATTGGAGTCTTATAATTAGGACTAAACTAAAAGTCAAATGGAATCTTATATTAAGCACCGGAGGTAGTATAATTAACTTCTTCATCCATGCAACTCCCCTCTGCCTCCAAACTACAGACTCCTTCTTTGAACAACCCTAGCATCCAAACTACAGACTCCTCCTTTGAACAAGCCTAGCAGTACAAGTCCGCTATGCTCTTGCTCCCTCCCACTCTCTTGTGGTTCACAAACTTCCCATCATTTTCCTTGTTTGCTTTCACATCCATTCTAACAATAATATTTACTGCTACGCTTTTCTGCAATAATGTGAAGATCTTTCAAAGCTTTTGTCTTGTTCCGCCCTCCACTTCTATCTCTCCATTTTTGATAATTGAACTGCTTCTCAAGAGATGCAGACCTTGCCTCATTCCGTTAATGCTTCAGTTGCCCCACTCGGCTTTCCTTTCTCCGTTAAGGACCGCCCTCTTCTAGCAGTGGATGAAATTTTTGGCAACTCTCAGGCGACAGCCGATGGCAATACTGTCACCGCTATCAATGCCGCCGACAATTCATCCTGGCTCCCCTCGTTGTCTGCTTCCCTTTGTAAGATTGTAAATGGGGGCCTCCATACTTTTTTATCAATTCCTCTGGAAATATATCAGTCTGCCCACATGGCTCATCGACCCATCCTTATTAAGAGAATGATTTGACGATTGTGAAAAATGTTACTGATCCGAAATCTTTTGGTGTTCTTGGGCTGCAACTTCCTCTCATCGTTCGACTTCCAAATGTCCTGAAGGACCGGCTTGAGTCCATTAACTCGGCCTTCCAACATGCATCCAATCTCACGGCTACCAGTCTCATTATCAAGGTGTTTACCCGGTGAAAAGCAATCACGACCGATTTGTCGTGGAGGACATTGTGAGATTCAGCTTCTCTTTTCGTTTTGGGTTGGAGGCAGGATCAAAGGCTGAGCTTCTCCTCGATATGAGTTACTTGTGCGAAGGCAGTCCCGAGGCCCTTTTCATTTGCAATGGGTACAAACTCTCTAGCCTTGATTGCAAGGAGGCTCGCCTTGAATACCTTTATCGTTCTTGAGCAAGCAAAGGAAATTGATATAATCATTGGGCTGAGCAAGAAGTTCGGCATTCAGCCTGTCATTGGCGTTCGAGTTAAATTAAGGACAAAACATTCTGGGCATCACGGATCAACTTCGGGCAAGAAAGGCAAGTTTGGGCAGACTACGGCTCAGATTTTCCGGGTCGTGAGAAAACTTGAACAAATGGGTATGCTTGAATGCCTTCAATTGCTGCATTTTCATATAGGTTCTCAAATTCCTTCAATAATATGTATCAATGACGGCGTGAGAGAGGCTACACAGATCTATTGTGAGTTAGTTCGACTGGGAACTCACATGCAAGTCATTGATATCGGAGGTGGTTTGGGAATTGATTATGACGGTTCTAAGTCGACCCATTCTGATCTTTCTGTTGGATATACCATTGACGAATATGCTGCAACTGTTATTCAAGCAATTCGACATGTTTGTGACTTCAATTCCATCAAGCACCCTGTAATTTGTAGTGAAAGTGGCAGAGCTATTGTGTCTCATCATTCTGTTTTGATCTTTGAGATTATTTCTTCGAGCATATATGAAGCGCCAACCTTATCTGCCTCCGGACTACAGCATTTGGTTGATAAGTTATCAGAGGATGCTCGTGTTGATTTTCAGAATCTATCCGGGGCGGCCATTAAAGGTGAGTACCACACTTGTTTGTATCACACGGAGCAATTAAAGCATAGATGTGTTGAACAATTCAAGCAAGGTTCTTTAAGTATTGAACAGCTCACTACTATAGATGGTTTGTATGAATTGGTTCTGAAAGTAACTAGTGCAAATGATGAACCGGTTCGATCATACCTTGCCAATTTCTCATGTTCACCTCCATTCCTGAATTCACTGCAATAAAACAATTATTCCCTATAGTTCCTATTCATCGCTTAGATAAGCAGCCAACAACAAGAGGGATATTGTCAGATTTAACATGCGACAGTGATGGAAAGGTGGACATGTTCATAGGCCATGAGTCAAACCTACCGCTCCGTGAACTGAAAGACGATGATGCTGGAAACTACTACGTGGGAATGTTCTGGGGTGGGGCTTACGGGGAGGCAGTAGGCGGGGTTCATAACCTGGGGGGCCCAGCATTGTTCGAGTGTTAGAGACGGGCAACGTCAACAAGTTTACATTGACGCATGCAATGCCAGGGCTGTCGTGTGGCAACCTCCTCGAGGTTATGCAATACGAGCCACAAGTCATGCTTGAGACCTTAAAACACAGAGTCCAACAGTTCGTGAAGGAAGACAATGGTGACCAAAGTACAGTTACTGCTTCAGAATTGGCCAGCCAACTAGCTCGTTCCTTCAACATGATGCCTTGTTTGGTTTCACCATCATCTTCTAATGATGCCCTACCTTAAAGAAAAAATGGCTAACTCGAATGGATTCAGACCTGAGACTTGATCTTTAGTGGTTTCTTTTCGAATATATAGTAGAAAAGAATAATGGCTCTCAATTACTACTGGTAGTTAGTTGTCTGTTTTTATAAATAAAAGGGGTGGCAAAACCATACAAGGGGACAAATAGAGAAGACTAATACTGTATCTGTCTAGATGAATCGCCTTTTTATAATAATATAAGTTGGTTCATTGAAAATATATAATTGTCAAGCCAATTAATATACACAGCAGCTGATGTTTTAAAGTAGAGTAACCGTATTTTACCATTGATTTGTATTTTCAAAATTACTTTGATGACATGTCAATCTATATTGAAATTTAAAGTTTCAGAAGTTCTCATTATTACCATGTTTTGGTGGGGAACTCCAAAATATTGATTTCCGTCGGTTTGCCGTACATGAAACATACATTTGAATGTTGTGTGTTTTTTTTTTGGCCAAGATTTAATAATATGAGTAGGTAGATAACATACTCTAGCTTAACTTTTCTTGTTTTGTATTTTTTAGATAATTAATTACTAATTCATTGTCATTACCTCTTCACTAAGGATCTGGATTGTCAATACAAAACAGTCTCAGGAAATTTTTTGTTTAAAATGTTTTTAAATAAAGAAAATATCTTCAAATCCTGTTAACCCGCGGCCTCCTCTCTCTCTCTCTCTCCATATCATCTCTCTCTTCCTTCACCAACAAAACTTAACGGAGTCTCGGCATCTAACAATGGGGTGAGATGCTTATTTGAAGCGAGCTTGACGCTGGTTCTTGAGGACAGCCAGGCCAGAAATGGCGACATTAACGAGTGGCTTGAATTTTAAGGCCTCGAAACCGCTTCCAATCAGACCATCACGCTTGCTTCTTACCCATATAGCATCGGCTTTGCGTTTGGATGGTCCTGGCTGCTTTCCCTCTCTCTCTCTCTCTCTCTCTATAATTTCTCGGAGAAGCTAGAGAGAAGGAAAACTATATATATAGTTATACATGATACCTTTCTACGAACTTGCAACAAAAAAAGGGTTTTCTTAGGAGAGAAGAATACGAAGGGGACGAATCGCCGGGACTGAGTTCTGAAACCCATTTTGTCGAAGGAGTGTGAGGTTCTTGACCAGCTCTTTGTTCATACTTTTCTGGGAAAGTACATAGCACTCGTTAGGTCCCGCGATCTATTTCCCCAGTTTGCACATACAGTTGTTAATTTTCTTTGAATTCTAAAAACGCGTTACTATTTTAATTTTACAAGAGAGAGCACGCAGGGAGGAAGTGATTCTCAGGGAAGATAATCAAAAAGATAGAAGGATACGAAAAATAGTCACGATTTTTAAAAGGCCAATAATAGTAAGATGGTATTTTAAGGAAGAGAGCTATAACAGGTAAGACAAATATAATTTGAACTGGTGTGCAGGGGCCAGAATTTTTGTTATATAATTCATCCATCCCATACTTCCTTGTACAATTTAACTGCCATACAACTCTCCACTATACTGCGACATCTTCTTTGACCAAGCCTACTAGTACAAAGTCCCCTATTTTCTCCCGATCTCTCACTCTCCTCTAGTTCAATAACTTTCCATCATTTTCAAATTAAGTTTTTGGTATGTTCAATCGCGGCTAAAGAGATGCAGACCTTGTCTGATTCCGTTAATGCTTCAGTTACTCCACTCGGCTTTCTTTTCTCTGCTGAGGATTGCCCTCTTAAGGCAGGTGATGTAATTTTTGGCAAATCTCAGGCGAAAGACGATGCCAGCACCACCAGCAACACTGTTACCGATGCCAGTGCCGCCGAGAATTCATGCTGGACACCCTCGTTGTCTGCCTCTCTTTATAAGATTGATAAATGGGGGCCTCCATACTTTTTTGTCAATTCCTCTGGAAATATATCAGTCCGCCCACATGGCTCATCGACCCATCCTCATCAAGAGATTGATTTATTGAAGATTGTGAAGAATGTTACTGATCCAAAATCTTTCGGTGGTCTTGCGTTGCAGCTTCCTCTCATTATTCGACTTCCAGATGTACTCAAGGACCGGCTTGAGTCTATTAACTCGGCCTTCCAACGTGCAATCCAGTCTCACGGATACCAGTCTGATTATCAAGGTGTTTACCCAGTGAAGAGCAATCACGACCGCTTCATTGTGGAGGACATTGTGAGATTCGGCTTCTCTTTTCGTTTTGGGTTAGAGGCAGGATCAAAGGCTGAGCTCCTCCTCGCTATGACTTGTTTGTGTGAAGGTAATCCTGAGGCTTTTTTCATTTGCAATGGGCATAAAGACTCTGAGTATATCTCTTTGGCCTTGATTGCAAGGAGGCTCGCCTTGAATACCTTTATCGTTCTCGAGCAAGAAGAGGAAACTGATATTATTATTGAGCGGAGCAAGAAGCTTGGCATTCGGCCTGTGATTGGTGTTCGAGCTAAATTGAGGACAAAACATTCTGGCCTTTATGGGTCAGCATCAGGCGAGAAAGGCAAGTTTGGGCTAACCACGGCTCAAATTCTGAAGGTTGTGAGAAAGCTTGAAAAAGTGGGTATGCTTGAATGCCTTCAGTTGCTGCATTTTCATATAGGTTCTCAAATTCCTTCAACAACAAGTGTCAATGATGGCGTCAGAGAGGCTACGCAGATCTATTGTGAATTAGTTCGACTGGGTGCTCACATGCAAGTCATCGACATCGGAGGTGGTTTGGGCATAGATTACGACGGTTCTAAGTCAAACCATTCTGATCTTTCTGTTGGATATACCATTGATGAATATGCTGCAACTGTTGTTCAAGCAATTCGACATGTTTGTGACGTCAATTCCATCAAACACCCTGTAATTTGCAGTGAAAGTGGTAGAGCTATTGTGTCTCATCATTCCATTTTGATCTTTGAGGTTATTTCTTCTGACATATATGAAGCACCGATCTTGTCCGCCTCCGAACTGCAGCATTTAGTTGATGGGTTATCAGAGGATGCTCGTGCTGATTATCATAATCTATCACGTGCAGCTGTGAAAGGCGACTATGAAACTTGTTTGTATCACACGGAGCAATTAAAGCAACGATGTTTTGAACAATTCAATCAAGGGTCTTTTAGTATTGAACAGCTTGCTGCTGTAGATGGTTTGTTTGGGTTGGTTCAGAAAGCAGCTAGTTCAAATGATCCAGTTCGACCTTACCATGCAAATCTCTCTGTGTTCGCGTCCATTCCTGAATCCGTTGGAGTAGGACAGTTATTTCCTATAGTTCCCATTCATCGCTTAGATGAACGGCCAACAGTAAGAGGGATCTTGTCAGATTTAACATGTGACGGTGGCGGGAAGATAGACAAGTTCATAGGAGAAGAACGTAGCCTGCCCCTCCATGAATTAAAGGACGATGATGTTGGAAAATACTGCGTGGGAATGTTCCTAGGAGGGGCTTACCAGGAGTCAATAGGTGGGCTTCATAACCTTTTTGGGGGGCCCACTGTTGTTCGAGTGCTACAGACAGACAACATGGATAGGTTTACGTTGACGCATGCAATGCCAGGGTTGTCGTGTGGCAACCTCCTTGAAGTTATGCAATACAAGCCGCAACTCATGCTTGAGACCTTAAAACACAGAGTCCAACAGTTTGTGGAGGAAGAGAATGGCGATCAAAGTGTGGCTTCTGCTTCAGAATTGGCTACTCAACTAGCTCGCTCCTTCAACAACATGCCTTATTTGGTCCCATCATCTCTTGAGGAATAATGGCTTAGAGCTTATCACGCACAAGCTTTTATTTGTTTATTTATTTATATCTATATATATGTATGTATATGTATTATTAATTACTAATTCATTGTCGATCGTTGCCTCTTAATTTGGATATCCTCATTGTGTCCCTCGCTTAATTTGGATATTGTATATATTGCAAATTTTATTATTACATTCGTTAAGCAATTTTTTTGTTTTATTTTTTTAATTAAAAATGATATTTATTTTGCTTTTGTTTTATTATTGAAAATGTAATTGAATAAAGAAAGAGTCTCTTTAATTATGATAATTTTTAATCCCGTACCATTTATTCTTAGAAATTAGAAATTAATTGTATTTTTTTTATAATTTGAATTTATTATATCAATTTATCATATGAAATTTCAAATAAAAATATATCATTTAATTTTAATTGAAATAAAAAAAACCCTGATATTTTCATATATTTTAAACATATTCCTCAGGTTTGGTTTTTTTAAAAAAAAAATCTCAGGACAACATTGTACCTTCTTAACTAAAAAAATTCTTAAAAGAAAAGTATTATAAGTGAAGCTTTCAAAAGATAACAGGTTTTTGGAGAGAATTCATGAGGAAAGCACACTGATATTATATAAGAGAGTTATTAAAACTCCTCCTACTCCTAACTATTGGCAAAGCTTGGTTTATATAGTGACTGAAATTATAACATGACAAACAATCCAGAATAATTATATAGATATAAAAGTAAAGATTTCAGACACGCATGACATAAAAGCAAATATGTTTTTAATTATTACAACAGGACAAACACATTTTTAACAAAGACAAATTTAAAGTGGACTCATGACATAAAGTAGATGCCTTGTGGATTATCCTTATTGCAAACTTTTGCATATGAGTTCATAGCTGGGAGACAAATTCATGACATCTTCTGAGTCAGAGTTGTCAGTATTAGAATTACAGATTCCTGATGTGTTTACGAAAGCATATTAATTATGAATCTATGATCACTTGTTTGAGCGTGGGTTTAGAAGCAGCTCAAGCCACCCTAACACACCTTTTGAATGCAGGGAGAGGAACTACCATGCTCAATATTAAGGTTTAAGACGCTATCCCAGCTGATATGTGGAAGAAAATGAAGCTAATTAATAAACTTGTTTCTTTTGACAACAGAAACTAATAAACTTTTGTTACTGTTATACCCTTCAATCCCACTTTTGGCCTGTCATTTTTATGTATTCTGGCCAGGTCTCATTGGTTGCATGGTGCAAGTCCGGCCGAATCTATTCGTTGAGAAAAGAAAACGACGTCGCGGGAACATTACGCTGTATTTGTTTCTAATGCTACAATTCCAGATGTCTTGCATTTATTCTCAGATCAAACTACATATTATTCCAACCACCTTTTTTTTTCTTTTAAATTCTGGTATACTATTCTTGCTACTTTTTCTTTATTATTATCATTACTTGACCCCTATTACTGCTCTACATATCTTACTTGTTTGATTTGCTGGTAATTAACGTAATCCTGTATATTGCTACTCTGAAATTGGTTGCTAGTTTTCTTTATTTCAGCTAATTGACTTTTCATTCATAATTCATCACTTTTCCTTGTTTTGTGTGTTTATATATATATATATATATAGAGAGAGAGAGAGAGAGAGAGGGAGAGGGGAGAGCTTGGAGGATTGCTCGTCTGATATCACTGTCCATAATACCCAGAAAGTTACAAGAGAAAACATGGTGAGCATTGCCTTTGAGATTTCTCCAAAAATCAGCAAGTCTATGTTTTCAGTTTCATCAGTTTGAACTCATACTTCATTTGTACTTTCATTTGTTCTAATTAACTCTTCTGATGATCATATATGCAGTCGAATAATTAATTACATAGAGTTTAAAAGTACAATTATTCTTACACCAATGATCTGTTGGTTGTGTTTGCGGCAGCAGTTTTCCTACGACCATGGGAACCGTGGGACAGCATTCGAGAGGACATATCGATGTTACCCTGCTGCTTTTATCGACAAGGTCTGCATTCTTTCGTACGTTTGGTTTCACAGATTTGCTCATTAGTATTTATTACATATAGTCAAGCATGATTTAGAAGTTTTAGGGGGTGTTTGGTTAAAAACCAAACCATGGTTTCAGAAGTACTTTTACGGATTACGAAATAAATATGTGGAGGAGATTACCTCGTTTTGCGGGAAATTGCTTCTGAAACCATGGTTTTGGGTTTCAAACACCCCCTTAATCACCTGGTAATTTAAAGCTGTAATTATTTTTAGATTTCATATATACTTGTCATTTTCGCTCAAATGTGGCACGAGTTTCTCGCGATGAGCATGCATGGAGCTGGTTTTTATGCTTCTATTCATCTTTTAAGGTTGATTGAGTTTGTAGCCAATTTAATAAATGGGGAATGTATTTGATCAATTATACTGCATTCGATTTAATGCAAAGAGTCGTACTTTATTAACAAGCATTTCATGCTGCCTCACATGCGGAATAAAAAGGAGTTACGTTCATACTGAACAAAACTTCTGTAACACACACACACGTGTGAAGTTCAGTTTGCAGTCCCCAGAAATGCAAATATATAGCTCAACTCTGCTGATGCAAGACTATTACACTTATTAAAGATAAATTAATACACTTTTTTCTCCATCATGTAATTAATAAATACTAGAGAGTCTCTAGCAAATAACATGGAGGTGAACGGGAAAAATGCATGGTTAAAAGTGAAAAACAAATGATGCACCAGCATTAATTTAAGTTCTTTTTGTTTTCCCCCCTCAACAACTATTCTAACATCTTTTTTTTTTTTTTAAATGTTCGTTAATCCTGCAGCCTCAACTTGAAAGTGGTGATAAAAGTAATTATCCTCATGCAAGCCAGATTATTACTTCCTCTGGTCCTAAATATAAAACTCATTTTATAGTATAATTTACACTACAAAATAGGTTTTATATTTAGGACGGGACGGGTATTATTTTTTTCCTTCAATCTTCTCCAAACTAACTGTCTAATACTGATCTTAATTCTTCTTGTTTCAGTTATAATGCCTCCATCAGCCCTTGGTCGTCTAGGTCAGTTGTTTCAATTTTACCTCTTATGCCTATCTAAATAACTAAATGAAGCTAATCATCATAGATTTATTTACGTTGTATCCTATCAAGAAGCTAAGGTTGGAAAGCTAATGTTAAATATAACACTGCAGCATCTCTACATATTAATTATCCAATGTTGTTTGAACTCCGGAATGATGCTGCTGATAGGGTTTCTCATTGTGGGGTGCTGGAGTTCATTTCAGAGGAAGGCGTGATATATATGCCTTACTGGGTAGGCATTTTCAAATTTAAACACGCACTCTCCTTTTTGGAAGCTACTCCTTTGGTCCTTAATATTAAGACTTACTTAACTCTTTTTTATTTTATTTTATTGGATTGTTACTTGTGCAGATGATGCAGAACCTGCTTTTACAAGAGGGAGACATGGTAAAAGTGAAAAATGCAGCACTTCCCAAGGGAACATATGTTAAATTACAGCCTCACACCCAGGACTTCTTTGATATTGCTAATCCAAAAGCCATGTGAGTTTGATGACCACCATCTTTATTAATGCAAATCATCAATCTGCTTCTTCTAAAATCAATATATGCAATGGGAATGACCCTTCATATTAATATTATGCTTCAAAAGAATATGTATGCTGTTTGTTGTTATGCCTATTCATTTGAAACTATCATAGACATAATTGTTCTTCAGCACTATCACATGCGTCTTTCTGTTCCATAGTTATATGGTTATGATATAAAACCAGTAGATATTTTGTTGTCTTCTGTCTTATGTAACAGAAAATTATGCTCCCTACATTTGTATGCAGAACTCTGTTAAGATATGTAACCATTTCTTTTTTAAATGCAGGTTAGAGACCACTCTGAGAAATTTTACCTGCTTAACCACTGGAGATAGCTTCATGGTGGCATACAACAACCAAAAGTATTACATAGATGTTATAGAAACCAAGCCTGCTAATGCAATAACCATCACTGACACTGACTGTGAGGTGGACTTGGCTCCTTCATTGGATTACATAAAATCTGCACTGAAGAAAGGTGCTTTTCCTCTTCATATTGTGCCCTGTGCTTTACACATTGGAGTAGGCTGACAGTAAATAAGATCGTTTCTGGAATCTTCATTTCAAGATAACTTTTAGCGTGAAATTAATGGGAGTATTTAACATAATGTAATTTTAATCCTGATATCTTGGATGTTTAATGTCGTATGAGATAACAGGATAGCATAGGATGACGCCATCATAACAGCCTTTATAAAAATATTGATTGTGCATATACATGTCGTGAAAATTTTCAATTTGTTAACTAAATATATGAATCTTAATGCCATTATATCTTGTACGTAGGCACTTTATACCATGACATTCAAAACAACAAAGAAAGTGAGAAAATGTACCAAATGGCTTCCTCGCAACTGTGTTGGTATACTATTGCAGAAGGCAAATAAATTTGAAATGGAAAACACAGCATTTTTGTGGGGGATTTAGACGAAATTTGCAGTAATATAGTGATAGTTACTTTTATTCTTAAATATGATATTTGACTGTTGGCAAAAAAAAAAAAATGATATTTGACTGACTTCATGTTCCTCTTTACAGCCAAGGAGGCCCAAGCTGAAAAAGGACCTAAATTCAACCCTTTTTCTGGTAGTGGAAAACGTTTGGATGGAAAACCATTGAAGTATCAATCTCCCTCAAATGGAAATTCACTGTCTTCGGCAGCACCTGGTTCTCACAGAAATAGTCGTCAGTCTAAAGGAAATATTGTTTTTGGATCTGATGTGTACCGTACAACAGAAATAGGAGAGGTAACTCGCTTCTGCTTTCAAATATTTATATCTGTTAAAAATTGGCAGTAACATGTTTAAAGAGAAATAGACACATAATATGTAAAATCTACCTGGGTTGAAGACTTTACATGAATAATAAACCTCACAATATATATATATATATATATATATATATATGAACATCATACAAAATATGCCATATTTTCTATGAAGATGACACGGTCGATTTCTCAAACATTAAGAAGACGTAAATCCCTTTCAATTTAAAATCCTGTTCTTACTTTTATGTCTATCTAGCAGGGAAGGAATCAAATCGACGACCTCCTCAACAAGAAGAGCCAAAATTTCGGGCTTTTATGGGGAAGAAGTACTCTCTAAGGGGCTGATTAAATATTAAATCAAGTGCTTCGAACTTCTACTCTACTTTACTAAACTTGTCTGCATATAATGAGAAGATGACACGGTACGATGCAATAAGAAGCCTACGGCCTATGTAACTGCCTTACAGTAATAAGAGATCACGCCCATCTAATCGTCCAAGTATTTATAGGTTGAGTACCAACCTTCATATTATGTAAACATCACTTGAGGATTAAATTCGAGCTCTTTAAAAACTTGCCGTTGAGTGTCAGAATCACCGTAACAAGTAATCAGAAGGGTACATAGTTGAAGTAGCCCCACACAGATATATACATTGCACAGTTAACCATAATTATACTAATTCTATATTTTAGCTCTGCTATATGAAAAATCCACTTGGTGGTTGTGATCGCACGTCTTGCTTGAATTCTGGAATTTCCTTGGTGACGCCTCTGATATTTGGAAATGCCGGTGGCCTGAATCCAAAGAATAAAGAATATAGAAGTTGTTGATGTCAAAACTATGTTTATGAAAGAATGGCCTTGAGTGCATCTTTCACATAACGATATTTGAAAGGGAAACCCAACTCCTTAGCTTTTGTAGGCAGCACCTTTTGCCCATCTAAAACCTGCAAACAACTTAGGGACTTAATGCAAAGAGTACAATATGGGCAGTAGAGAGAGATGCATAGATAAATCCAGTGTACCTAAGAATTATTTGGACTATAAGGACAGAGCAAATAATAACCAGAGATGATATGGAATTTTACCACGGTAGCACCTTCGCCAAGAACAGCCTTGAGGGCAAAATCAGGTACAGGCAACCATGATGGGCGACCAACGACATTTCCCAGTTGTTCACACAATTCTGCCAATCTGACTGGATTTGGTGCAGTTCCATTGATAACTCCTAACACATATCATAAGTAAACAAATCCAATAAGAAGCGACTCTTGACCAAGGTTCATAACAATCAATGAACAGGATCATGATTCCACATTAATGATAATACTGCCTCCAGTCCTTAATATAAAAATTAGTTGACTAATTTGAGTAGATTAAGAAAGTTTGTTAAGTTAGTTACTTGTAACAAATAGGTGTTGTCTTTTCTAAAATACTCTTGTTAATCATAGGTATTAGATAGAACTACTATTTGATAAAATATTTAACATGTGCAGCTACTTCAAGGGTTACCTTAGGAAAAATAGATAAATACCAGAGACAAGGTGGATTGGGGTCTTATATTTAGGATTAAATTAAAAGTTAAATTAATTCTTATATTAAGGACCGAATGTAGTACTGTTCAAGTACTACCAAGAAACATGTGTTCAACTGAATAATGTGATAACATTGATGAACAATGGTTTTGATGGCAATTACTTCGAAGGTATACATGTACGAAAAATTGATAAAGTTCAACTTGGGTAATGGGTATACAGGAGCGTTCACCTTTATAAGATGGATTTGATAATGCTTCGTAGACTAAATTGACAATGTCATCCAAATGAATCCAAGAGAACCTGCACAAACAAGTCAACAGTCAAATTTGCACCTTCCTAAAAACAATAACAAAACCATGAACCGATGCATCAAAATTCTGCATTGTTACTATAGCAAATTGGAAGATCAAGTAAAACAGCTTAGGTGCTTGTCAGCTAAGGGGTCGAAGCAGGATTTGGTTCCAAACTTCTTCATGCCATGATAACAGACTAACAATACCACAAAATAACCTCTTATGGAGTACAAGGTAAAGAGTGCAATACCACTGTTTTCCGGAACCCAGAGGTCCACCAGCAAACATCATAAAAAGAGGGACCATTTTGGCTGCAGAGGCTCAAAGATGCATCAGTTTCACTTATACAGTATCATGAATTCAAGAATCATCTACATTTTTTCAAAGTCTGAAATTTCCAAAATAAAGTTTATCTCGCTGATCGTCCAATTCAGAACCACAAGACAACTTTAACCATAGCTAGACAAATAGATAATTGTCACTTACAATGCAGTAATATTCGACAGTTCAGAATGAAATCAGTGCGAGAAGCACATTAGCTGATATGTACATACCTAGTGCTCCACCATCTTTGCCAAGAACAACACCAATGCGAATTAGAGCTAATCTTACATCCCCATTTACTTTAAGAGCTGTTGATTCCCATTCCCTACAAACCTGAAAGAATTTGCGCAGCTTCTGTCAGAGCAATGTAGTTGCTCAAGTGCAACCTACAACACAGTGCATACATTCTATTTTATCATTATAACTTCGAATCCCACAGTTTTTCAAGACATAAGGGAGCCAACACAAGTCCCCGCAGTATAACAGAATGCCCAATAACAATCCTGGTGGTGATATAACTTGAATCAAAATTTCAGTATTATGGTTGAATGCAATTGTAGAAGTTCTATTTATCTGAGTGATCATCTTTTTCCCAAGTCTGGATGATTAAAGGAGTGTTCATTTAAAACAGGCCGCACCATGTGGAAGTTTGACGATGGCAATCCTTGATCTCAAACTGCCATCAACATCTGGCTTTGTTTAACTTCTGTATTATTGAAGTAGACACTTTTAAGGCTAACAATTTCATATAATCTCCGCACTTGCAACGCATGACTAGATTTTCAGTAATCATCGGTAACCTTTTCCATCAAGAAATATCAACTCGATCATCTTCCTTTTCTCAGTCAGCTTCTTAATAGAAAAACAAACAGAAAGCCAATTACGTATTCATAAAGTTCTTACACAATGCATGGAACTCAACGTATCAACGGATTTCAGAGACATCTTTCTTATTAAAAATATAACATAAGAAAGATGAAAATCCATCTGACTGTGTAAGTACTCTTAAGACATTGAGTGGACTAGTCACCTTGTTATTGTTATAGTCATGGGACATTTTGAAAGCTTACATTTTCTCATTTAATAACAATTATACAAATTGTAATTACCTCAGCTAAGTAATCCTTTCCCGAGGGACTTTGTTCATCAAACACTTCGGTCTCACTGGTGCCTGCCACAGCACAAGAACAAAATATTTAAAAAGGGATAAGGAATATGCAAAACCTGCAACCTCAACTTAAAGAGTCAGGTGAGTACAGCACATGCTCTAAACTTGCTAACCAAAACGTGTAATAACTACTAATATTAAATGCCAACAAGCAAGCGTAGTATTTACTAACAGTGAAATAACTTTGGGTACATCCATACCATAGTAACCAACAGCCGTTGCACTGACTAAAACTTTTGGCCGAATATCATCAGGTGCACTGTTTATGCATTCTACAACCTTTGCTTTGAGATGAAAGTGTCAGAATAAGAATTTTAAACTCTACACACCTCTTGATTCTTTTCATGTGCACATTTTAGAAAGTAAAATATTTGTTTTCATTATTTTCATAAGAGAACTGAATGCTAACCTTTGACGTAACTCTAATTCTGCTCTCCTTGATCTCCTTTTTAACCTACAATATTGGCATAAATATACCAGTTTAATGTTATGCGTGTGCCCATATTATCAGCAGTTTAAAGCAGGTGTAGAGAACACAGAGGTAAGGACAAAATGTATTGCCTTACATTGTCTAATCTTGAAGTCTCACAAATATTGTCTTGCAGAATTTACATTTTTAAACAATTACTTGAGCCACAACAGATTGTAAAATATAATTAACATATGTCGATAAAAATGTTTTCTTGTTAGTATTTTCATAGAGTTGCTAAATGCAAGAGTGTAAGATTTTCCAGCACAAGAAGAAAGGCAAGGCATACATACTAACAAATTGAAATTTAAAGAATTGCATACAAAGAGACGAAGCAGAAAATATTAAGATATCTATCATCTCTTAATGTTCACCGCCTTGGTGTGAGACTGGATCGAATAAGAATATGATTATACCTCGGAAGACCATCTCGTACTTATGGGCATGCCAGCCAAATTCACAACGCCAGTTGAGCCATGAATACACTCTTTCCATTCCGACTCGTCTGCTATCTTGATTCCTGGAAAGTCTTTTGCTGTAAAACCGAAGGGCAGTGTGAAAAGCTAATCAGTTAAACCAGAGTGATATATATGTATTAAGATGTACCTTGGAATACAGAAAGAAATTCCTTTTTCCACCATTACTAGGAAAATAACAAAATTCCTCTAGGGGAGGAACCCAAAATGATCTATTAATGTTTAGTGACAATATGAATATGGTACTTAGAAAGGAAGATACATTATTCTACCGTTTTCAAGCGAAAGGGAAACGTAATCTTCGTCTCTTGTCTTAAACTAGAAGAGTTTGCTGAGTATATATCTTTTCAGAGTGCGTGTGTGCCTGTGAATGCAAATTATTACATTTAATCATTACCTTCTTACCCGGAAAAATTTGTTCTGCCTTGGATTTAAAGCGTGTCAAGACATGGACTCTATGATTGTCTGAAAGAAAATCATTGGTTTCGGGAAGAGAATGTCAGCTTAGTTATTCAATTATTTCCCAGCAAAAGCTCGAATTTAAAAAAATGCATATGCGGGCAAGGGATAACAAAATCCAGGCAAGCTATTTGTTTTTGCTGGTTAGGAAATCTACGACAGCTAGAGAATGCTTTCATGGTGAAGGATTTTGAAGTAAAGGGAATTAAAAGTTGACGACAAATATATGTGAGAGCATACTTGACTAAGGTAACAGAAGAACTTGAATATACATTAGAAATTACATATGCTTTATAACATACTAGATTCAAAAATGACTTAGCTAGTTGGAGCCTCGGGTAGAGAATAACCTGCATGCAGCCTTTGCACCAACCTTTTACCTATAAAGCCTGTTGCTCCAGTTACTGATATGATCATTTGGTTTTCCTGAAATCACTCTGTGGTCAACGATTTGAAAGAAGCAGAAGTATACCAAGATTATCCGAAGCCTAACATTATGAACCTAAAAAATTATTCAGTAGAACCACGGCAACCTGTCCTAACAAGCCCATTAATGATGGTTATGAACCACGAGATATATGCAATGAAAATTAGCAGACCATCCCTATTCAAATTTTGGAATTCGGAAATCTTATAGATTGATGCACATTATACAACTAAGATTGTAGCTTTCAAGCCCACCGATCTCCTTTTTTGGATTTAATCCTAACAAAGTGTCAGATTCGCCAAAACAAGATCAAGAAAAGCCTAACTTGAATGGCCACAAAAGCATGCCCTGCTAGAAACAGAAGCTAATCAACTTCACCATTAGGCTTTGGATATCATCCCGAGCCATTAGAACATGTGTGCTCATAATGATGGTCCCTTCAAAGTCAAATAACAATGAGTAACATCTTCAGATTACATGCTTCAAAACTGGATAAAACGCTAAGTAAACAAAAGGCATAAACTTTAAACATGTACCTTCTGGGTTTCATCAGAGCTACACCACACCTTGAATCTCCTAACTTCGGGGGTCTAATAAAAATAAAAAGAAAAAGAAAAAGCATGGGAAGCAAAGAATGCGTGATAAGTAAGCGGAGAAACGAGGGGACATCAAGAATTGAATATAACAGCGGAAATGCATACTGAGAAGCGTGGAGCCAAACGGAGGGAGAAAGAGAAGTTGGAGACCACGTGAGAACGGCGGCTCCAGAAATTCCCATTGATAAGCCTTTGCGGCTAATTCAGTGTGGTCGTGGCAGTACAGAAGAGTTCGCGTCCTTAGATTGAAGGGAGAAGACCGTACAGTGATATGTGAGTAAACTTAGTAAAGTATCATCTGTCGTGTTTGATTTCAAGCCACAACAATCTCCTACATTATCATATCAATCACCCATTTCTCTCTTTCCGGCTTAGAATTGGACGACGACATTATTTCACACGCGCAATTTCATACCTCCACTTTTCAATCATCATAATCCAGCTCTCTTCAACATGTCACGGCAAGACAGTTTTTTCTGTTACCATGTCACAAACTACTACGATAACTCTTGCATTTGCCGATAACATTCATAACGACTTTTTCGTGGATTTAATTGCATACATTGATGTTAATGTTCTGGCCCAAACAAAATGTATATATTAATGCATATATATGTGTGTGTATTAATTTGCTCTTAGAAAATATGCCGCCCTCCCGCCGGGGATAATTCATCAAATCATCAATACTTATAATAAATTTTAGCTCCAAGTGAATCCAACTATTCACTATTTATGAGTAATACAACTAAATTACTTTTAATATGTTATATTTTGATGGCAAAAAATAAATAATATATTGTATTTTTTCTAATTTTTCCCCTGCACTTTTAACATGTTAAATTGATGATTTTGAAATTGTATATTATCACTCTTAAATACTACCTCTGGTCCTTAATATAAAACTGGTTTGATTTTTATTTTGATCTTAAATATAAAATTTCAATACATTTTGTCTTTCATATTTATCTATTTTTTTAAGATAGTTTTTGTCATAATAACAGTTTTAGCCAATATACTTGATTAGTAAGGATATTTTAGAAAAAAAAATACATATTTATTATAAATAATTAACTTAGTTAATTTTATAATCTATTTAAATTAATCAACTAGAGTGTGTGAAGAAAAATAGAATTGCAGATTTTTTTTAAAAAAAAATATGTAAACAGAACCACAGATACATCATACATGAATCAAGTAGGTAATGGGGTTCGGCCGAAAAGAAGGTTCATTGCAGTCCGTGGCTGTGAAGAAGATCAGGATCTTCCCAGTCCATAACTTGGCCCGGACCATTTAAGCCCATAAAGGATCTTCTTGGCCTTCTCACTGCTGAAGCGCGAGCGAAGACGAACGTGGCGACCGGTGGTGTTGGCTGGTGGCACGATGCAGTGGTTTGGTGCAGTGGCGAGGCTGGTTGTGATGGCGGGCAAACCGGCGGCGACGGAGACGCCGTCATATGCCAGAGCGGCGCCGATATTGTGTGGACGTGGGGACAAGAAGACAAAGAGAGGGAAGAGATTCAAGGGATCGTATGGCAATGCAAGGCCCAAGAAAGAAAAGAAGATCGAGCGCATTAAGGATAAGGTCGAAGTTCCTAGGTCTACCCCTTGGCCTCTTCCATTCAAGCTTATCTGATCCTAAGCTAACGCACAGACAGCCTTACTTCTGAGTCTTTAGTTTAGGAGGTTCTGCTCTCGAATCCGAAGGAGCGGAGGGTTAAGTTTCGTTGTGAGCTGTGATTAATTGTAATCTTATAACCCTTGTAATCGAATTTGATTGGCTTGGCGACTATCTTGCTTCTATATTCATTTCTGTTTTCTGTTTCAATTTCGTTGATATATACCCAAAAAAAAAAAAAAAAAGCAGCCGAAAATTCTATCGGTGGCTTTCGAAGCGTCAACGGTTCGTCTTCTCTACCTATATGCTGCTCATTGGAAATCGGATCCTTTTGAGCATTCCTCTGAGACATCGAAATTTTATTGATTGTCTACAAATATATTGTTCATGATAATTGTAGGGAGAAAAAGGTTTCGGATTTATGGGCTGTGTGATCAAAATCGCTATCAGTTTGCCACAATTTATCGTCACATCATTTGGCATCAATTTGGAGTCGGGTGACTTCTTTGGAAACTATTAGTTGACATGTGCTGCCTCAGGGCGGTTCATTTGCTGTGGATATTCCTACAATAACCCACAAGAGCACGATAATTCTGGTCATACAAGAGCGTGTTTACTTTATAATTTGAATTGAGCAACGTTTCCTCAGTGCTGCGGCAATTTTGTTTGAAAGAGATGAGCAAGTCAATCAGAATAGATAAAATGTCGTTAGTACAATCACAATTTAACTTGGTGAGTATATGACTGAATGATTAGAAGACTTATTCACCCCCTGATAAAAGATGCAAATCAATGGAAACCACTAGAAGACTTCCTTATGCACATCATAAAAATTGTGATTTCAAGTGATTCACATCATTCAGCTAAGTAAGCTAAATGCGTGTTTGGTTTCTTGAAATGCACAGTCTTCTTTTTAATTGTGTTCTTAAATGACTTTGGCAGTGGTTTATGTTTGCATACACATGCACTCTGGTATGTGGTGAACAATTGAACATAGTTTGCCACACCTGCGAGTGTAGTTTTAGTCTAGGCTCCCGAAAAATACAAACCCCTTTTTTTATCTTCCTTTTCACGTGAAGTTACATATGCCAGCGATTCTAACACCAAATTCATGGCAGCGATCCATCTGCATTCAAAATCTTGAAAGAAGATAAACCATAGGGCTATTTCTGCAAGCATCGAAGCCAGATCTACTGCTTCAATGCAACTAATGAAAGCAGAAAGGATCAAATGAGGATAATTCCCTGTGTGCCTACCTGTAGTTTATACCAAACAGCAAACAATTATACAGAAATATCAGCTTTTGGGTTGTCGCTTTGCTGAATTTCAGATTCTTCTGGGTATTGTAGCTCCTCTGACAATCTGAGAAACAGGTCTGCAATTATGGGAAGCCCCACAACTATAAGTAAGACGGCTAAGAGCATGATCAAAGCCCCAATCCGCGAGACCCATTGGCTATATAAAGTTGATCTTCCTGTTGCAGTGGCAGCTTCATGTCCATAGCGAATTGTCCATAGCAGCAAGGCCATGGCTACCAGAGAGCTGACAATTCGCAACAATATTGCCTTGGTGATGGGGTTGGTGTTAGGGAAGATCTTCCTAATCTTGGCTCTGGTTAACTGGTAGTGGGAACCCATCATGTTGGTCTAAGAAGCTTGTTTGAGAGATTTTGAGATTAAATCATACTGTCTGTGTCTGAATTCTCTGCTGGGAGCATGTTTTTATTTTTGTCCCAATGAAACGACATTTTGAAAGTGGTGGGTGTGTACTGATCCTTTTTAAAGTCATGGTATTTATGGGGATGGTGATGAGGGATGATATTTGGCTGGGTGGGGTATTAATTAATGATATGAGATACAAACTGAAAGAGAATCCTTTGGTGGGGTTTGGATCCAAGTAAATAAATAAATGATGAAATACCTGTCAAGCAGGGAGGGCTAAAAGAACAAGAAGAAGCAAGCTTTATATGTTAGTTTAATTCTTCTTGATTCTGTGCTTGGAGAGATAACTGTTGGATTTTTTGAGGGGATGTAGGATTTCCGTGGGAAGTGGCAGCATAGTAGGTCATTGGAAAAGACGATGGAAGTGCATCCAATGGGAGTTAACAAGAAGAGTTGCGTGGGCGGCTAGTCCCAAGATGTTGGATATGCAAACGACATCGTTGCTGCTTTGGATACTACGTTGTCTTTCTGTCAAACGTGGCTGCTATGTACAACCTAACTATGATCATGGTTCTCTTCACGCACAGCATCGGCCATGGCGTTGCAATTCAGATGAATGCAGCCACCACACAGGCACGTGCTTAGCAGCAACCGGGATGTCAGAAAAACAAGATCAAACCACCAAAAAAAAATTTCAGCTTGTTAGGTTTCATAATCAATCATTTTAATGTTTAGTACTACATTAATTCTTAATATAAACCTAGATAATTAATTTGGGAAGATTAAAAAATTAATTTAGTTAGTTATTTGTAACACTGTGTGTTGACTTCTTTAAATTACTCTTATTTAATCATGTATATTGAAACTATACTATAAATTTGAGAACACATTATAAATTTAAAAGATAGAATAAATCAGGATCTTAAGTTTAGAGCCGCCAACTAGCCATTATATGTAGGATAGAAAGTAATTTTTCTTTTGGGGTGAAATTACATGTTTAGTATTTGACAGTCAAAAAGTAAAACAAATGAGTATGTCGACACTAATCTTCATTTTTATATGCTGTTGTCTTTTGAGAAACTTTTATATACATCCAACGTATCATGTTTATGTAATAGTAGCGAGAGATGAAGTTAAATCACATATTTTATTCAATAAAATAGATATGAAATTCACCCCAATTTATAACTCAAGTTCATTGGAGAGTTAATCGTGCGCGCATAAATACGTGCGCGCGCATGTACCTAAAATGAATTCTTATAATTTTATGATTTATTACCGGTGCATGCATCTTAGAAGTTGAACAACATTTTTTATTTTAAAATTAACTGTCGAATTTGTCATTTGTATTTTTAATGCAGGCCCCACAGTATCCTTTATTGTTCTTTATTATACAGCAATCGGGGAAAAAAACATTTCTTTGTAAATTTTTTTGGGGGGACAAAACCTGATGGTACGGTCAACGGCATTTTACCAAGGAGGGGGATTAATCAGTCGGCAAATCCTACAAATTTGAAGGTATATTAACTGATACATTACACGTGAAGTGGCACAACAAAACTAGAGACCACGCTCACCATGCCTAAGTGAAGCAGCTAAACCAGGCAGAAAAACCAAGCACAACTCTTTTTTTTTTTTTTTTTGGGGACCGGAAAGCACAACTCTATTTCAAACAATAAATTTAGGCCACAGTTTCACTCCCATTAACAAAGAATGCGTCAGATAGATACCAAATATCAAAGCCTACAGAAGTGATGCTCTACTATTTTTCCAAGGATAAGATCTTCTCCTTGTCTGACAGGGCGTGCAGAAGCTAAGCCCAAACATCTCCTTAAAAGCCTTCCCCTGTTCTGAGAACCTCACCAACTTTGCAATCACAGAAGCACTTTCTATGATGTGGTTCATATCAGTGTTGTTCCATAAACGCTTCGCCAGCTGCATCCTCCTGCGTTTTGAATCCAATCCAATACCCCACTTCTTGAACAGACTTCTCCTCTCTTCCTCAGAAAGCCTTCTCATAAGCTTGACGAGCATTTCCCTCTCCCGGCAAAGAGACCTCTCACTGTTAATATGAGAGAAAGACAAACAATCAATATTCCACAGAGTGGTGTTCAATTTCTAACCAGATCCTAATATGTCGTTGCAGAATTTCAAGAAAATTATGCATATGATTTGGTTAAGGCATCCTCCTTGCCGCCACTTCTAGTTACCAAACCAAACTTCCTCCTCCTTAAGACCACACGTTTGTATTGAATCATCAGTCCATACGAAATAACAATAAGATGTGCTTGTCCACATGATTTTTAAATGGATTAAACTTTGTTCTTAAGGTATTTGTTGTCACATTGTTCAATAAAAATATAACACGTGGAGTGAAAGACCTAGTCATGCGATGTTGAGTTATGGAAAAATCTAATAGCCGAGGCATACGAACTATAGCCTAGTTTTTTCTTTTTTTAAATTTTGGACCATATTCCACATAAAATAAAATATTAAAAAAAAAAAGTTTCTGTTGACCATTTCAGCGACTTGAATTAATGCCCACTCAACAGTCAACACATTATAAAAGCAACAAACCCAACCATATGAATCCTCAAGTAAATGCACAAATAGAGAGGGAACCTGGAAGAAAGTGTGGCTATCTGTCCATCCTTCACGTTCTTATTTTCATGAGAAAATGTTTCCCTGAGGAAAGACAGTCTTCGAAGCTCTACCTCAATGTAAATGGAATCTGTTGGATCACCCCTGAACAGAAGAAAGAAGTATGTCCTATGAATCAGCGATACACTACAAGCTTGCCACAATTCGAATATCTCCTTTTGCTGTCTCTTGAATTGTAGAGGCCAATCTAAAGGAGTTTCAGGTGCCTCTAACATTGGGTCTATGCCTACATCTTTCACATTCTTCTGAACCTACAAGTAAGAAAACAGAACTTAGTCAAGAGCATAAATTGCCGGCACTAATGCTGAGCACCCAAATGCAATTTTTAAGCATCAAATCCAATGGCCTGAAGAGAAGCAGAAAGAAGACACAATTTGCCGATGTAATTATGCCAATTCATGAAACATGTCTTTCTACAGAAGAAGTTTTAAGATTCTTCAGGTTCGATAGCTCCATAATTGTGAAGAACAGCTAAATGCAACGTTATGACATAATGCAAAAGATAAACCAAAAATGCGCTGTTAACCCATCAAAAAGATCAGAAGTAGTATGATACCAGTCAGTTACTTGGGGCAAAAAATTTAGCAGATCCTTTCCTGCAAATTTAAGACCAATAATGGCAATTAAAATGGCTTATTCTTACCATTTCCTTCATCCCAGCAACAAAAGTTCGGACGCTAGTGATATCCTCATCAGCAGATGTTCTCATGCTGTTTGCCCTTAACTCGTCTCTGGAGGGTGTTCCAATAGAAGACTGAGAATCATTCCTTGACAACCTTGTGGCATCACCATAAATTAATGGAGGTAACTTTCTCCGTAAACCTTCTGGTCTTCCTAGGAAGCCTTTCGCAAACCCATTAGCCGGTGTGCTCTCTGTTTCCCCTAACCACTCAGGAGATCCAGTCATGAGATGTTCTGTACAACTCCAGCTCCTTGTTAACTTAACGTTCCTAGAATTTGATGAACCAATGGTCATTTGTGCATCATTCAATCTCGGCTCCAGAGCAACATCTTCTGAATTGTCTTGGATTTGGCTGGTTTCCCTTTCTTCGTGAAGAGGACCCATCATTTCCTGACCAGTATCACCCTCTCCAGGCATTGGTTGTGCCAAGATCCCGTTATCAGTTCTTGATGAATCAATATACTCTGAGTTATCTCTGTTGGAGTCATCCATCTCAATACATTGAACTTCTTTGCAATATTCATCAGTGTACTCTGTACAAGCAAGATCTAGTAAATGTATAGTAACAGCATCTGATGCAGTTCAAATCTAGTAAAGAACTTACCATTAGATTGATGATTGGACCCTTCAGGATTAATTCCATTGTATCCTTCATTAAAGTGAGGGTTGCTGAACTCTCTAAAGCGTAAATCATGATGAGGGCCATAAATGCTTGATGACTCTGACACTGAGCACTCATCCTCCCAGGTATCATCCACTTCCTGCAAAATAGGATGATTGTTAATGCTACCCTTAAATTTGAAGGGAAAAAGTAGGAAATACCATAATCAACTATGTGCAATAAATTTTTGGTAACAAGGATATGAAAATTACTTTTGCAGATTTACGGTCATTTCCAACCATCCGTAGCAAATCCTCAACACGAGACTGTGCAAGATCACGCTGCTTGGTTAGCTCCCTAATCTCCTTTTCCATCTGAAACATCGGAATCCATGTTACCACCATCTAAGGAGAAAGGAAAAGGCACCAAGCTAGTGCTTGAAAAACGTGTCATCAATATGCAGCAGTCCAGCTGTAGCTAAATCATGGTATACTAGTTAGCTCAAATACACGTAACCTCTTCCTTCAAGTTCAACTTTGATCAATAGGTGATTATAACTCTTGTAATTTCAATTTTGGCAATCATGCTCTTCAACGTTTGACATATGACATATAGCGCCTTCCATCAAATGATCATGAATTTTAATTTTAAAAAAAAGCATGCCTTAATCCACTTAGTAAAGTCAGCTATATGGGTTGCATGTTGCCATTATGTTCCGTCAACAACTAGCTCTTTAATGGTATCATTCACCACATGATCCCATTCAATGACTTTCTTGAGTTCCCTTGTTGGTTTCCCTTTATCTTTTCTAGAGGGCTTAATAAGATCATGAAGTAAAATAAACGGAAAATATATATATCTCATTTGAAGAGGGGTTTTGACAGAATAAATTTACCAAGTGTCCTACTAGGTGAGGTTTTCTCAATCTGATAACTCACAGACAAATTAAATTTTTAGCTAGAGTTCATAGACTTGAAGATTGGGTGAAATGAGACATTTGCCATGAATTGAAAGTTTCAACCAGACTCAATTGGCAAAATTAAAAAGTGAAGGAGCTATTTGCCAAAAGGTGAAACTTGAGCATGCACAAGTATTGCCAAGGAAAATATAACAGGCATCTCCAATCACAAAAATGCCTACCTGACCTCCCAAACCACAACAAAACAACACTGTCATGCAACTAAAAAAACAAAAGAACGCTTTTTAAGATCTACCACAACATGGTGCGACCCTTTTAGGTATTAAGTTATATAAACTGACTGAGCTACAGAATAGCACAAGTTCAACAGTATAACCTTTTCAATCTGGAGGTCTTTCTTTCTCAGCAATGCTGCATAATCGCAGTTGGAGGCAGCATGTGTAGGAGTTCTCAGCTCGCTCTCCAATCTTGCCACCTCCTTTTGTAAATGCTTAACCAAGGCCTTATCAGACATCACTACATTAACCTGTGCTTTAGTGGTCACTTCCTTAGCACAACAAGCAAAAAGAAGTGTGTTTCTAGTTTGCTCGACATGGCTTCGAGCACTGCTCAAAGTGCAAATGATGGCTGTTCTTGCATTTCCACCCAAGCAAGGCTGCAGTATGCGAGTCAACTTGGAATCCCTGTAGTTGACGTGGCCCTGTCTCTCCTTACTGCATCCAATCAAATTGTCAATGGAAACTGATTTAAAAAAAAGGAAAAAGATGGAAACTTTTAAATTTTACATATGAAAAGCTCTGTAATAGGAGTATCTTCATCTGATAAAGATTAGACACCAGGAAAAACACAATAGCATCCTATTCGGTGCAAGTTTTCATCTGAGTGACATTCACATTATACAAACTAGTCTAAACCTTATCACGTCTCCAGAAAGGCGTCAATTGCTAGTGGATTTCAATAAAAACTATCCAACTGACATGTTATACAGTTGTATGAAAACTATCGTGTGAACAACGAAAATAGTAAAATACTGCTAATCAGTTTCACATACCCAGATTCACAGAACACTCAAGGGCAACCTTACTGCCAGCAATATCGCAAATGATAAATTAGATAATTAAGAGGTTAAACAGCTGACTGACATCAAAGTGCTGAAAACAAGTTTTCCAAACGTACCGGGCTAAATGCCAAGTACAATAAGAAATATAAAGAATCAAAGGATGACATAAAGGAACAAGTATAACACCTGACAGTTTAAGTAATGACATCCTTCTTTCAATCTCGTTCCAGCTGATAATGCCTGAGATGCACGCTCACTCCCTGCCAAATCAACAAAATTCTGCATAGAACAAGTTTAGTTGATGTAAAATCAGAGCAACATTTTATTTAGGGAGAAGTTATAAATATGCACATACCACACTGGCTGCTAAGGTGGTTGAGTTGCCTTTGCCCAAGAATTCTCGGGCAGAACTTTCAACAGTCTGCAAGGTTGCAAACCATGACTAAAGCTCTACAAGGAAAAACACTAAAGCATTATGTTTTAAGCAAGGAAAGAGAAGGCACATACCAGTCTAATAATTTGGTGAGATCTCGAACTCTTTTCGTTCAGGTATGTCTCTCCAACCTGTCTCTGGGCTGCAAGAATATAGCAGGCACTGTAATTATACAGATCATCTTATAACAAAAAGATTATGAAAAATCTTCTACCTTCACAAAAAGACAGGAGCTCTTTCAAATGTGCCCAGTCCCGTAGAGTTTCTTCTGTGAGTTTCTCTACAATGGTTCCTCTCTGATTAAAAAGAGAGATCATGAGAACAGTCTTGTTGAATAACCAGTAACTCAATATATTAAAGGCATTTACCTCAGGATCATCCCGAAGCCTTAATGCAGTGTTGTCTGTGCTAAGAAGGTCTCTGACAACTTCATTATAAATTTCAATTGCTGAGAACTTCAATACAAATGCTCTTTCTTCATGCTAAAACAGTACAGAAAAGGATCACTAAAAATAGAAAGTTGAGAGTTCTGGCAAAAAATAATGCTGAACAGTTTAGGAAAAGATCAACGAGTCAGTAGTTTTACTCTATTTATATAGTCGAAAATGTCTGCTACAGAATACTCGGTTATTCCATTCATAGTGTATGTCTTTCCACTGCTTGTTTGTCCATAAGCAAATATGCTCGCTGAAAGAATACAAAGACATGGTCAAAGCATTTGGGGTGTTAAGTGGAAAGTAAATTGAAACTAGCCAGTAAACAGCATATACTTACAGTTAATGCCACTAACAACTGAAAGAGCAATTTCTCTAGCTCCTTCCTCATATACCTGCTTTGTGGAGCAGTCACCTTGAAACACTCTGTCTATCTCCAGATTAAAAACCAAAATTAAAAAACCCTCTTTATACGATAATTGGACCTCCAATACAAATATGACTTAAGAAACAATTTCAAACACTATCCCGCAATAGAACTAAATGTTATATATTTAAGTATAATATATAGGTAAGAATTAAAAATGAAGAGAAAACAAACAAGGAAGATAGAAGATGTTGGAACTTTAGCAACTGATGTACACAGATTCAAATAAATGATTTGCATCACCAAGAAACCATTTTCAAAAACTGAACAAAGGATTATAAGGTAACGAGTGCATCTCCTAGCCAACGTATGTCAAGCCAATGGTCTTGAGAGTAATCAGTTAATTAAACCTTTTTCTCTGGGTAAGACAAAGCAATTCTTTACAGCATTTACACACACACCTTAATATGGGTGCGTGTCACAAATTTGCTTAATTCCTGAATTAAACACTTATGCCACAGTTCCCAATTCTTGACAATGCCAAGAGAACAACAAATCATATAATTTAGATTTAATAACAATAAAAATTTCCCAAAATTAAGTCAACTTAATGGAAAGATGTTTACTTACCAAATGTGTAGGCACTTGGAAATGTGGAACCCTCCCGCAGGGTATTCCGGTACAATATGGTAGTATCATTGATGCATTCCCAATCTGCCACTTCATTGACAGCAATTTCCTTATCACTCAAAGGCCTCAACCTTACTGACACAAGAATCTTCTCTTCACGGCCACTCACACCATGCATCTTCTCCCATTTGATCATTTGTTCTCCATCAATGGCCCCCATTTCTCTCTTCACTTCTAGCGTGATGTTCTTCTCAGCTCAATTCACGAGTTATTCAGAACAAGCCCACAACCTGAAAACCCCAATAGCGGAAAACATGTGGAGTTTCTTTGTTGAACTTATTCTTACCTTTCTCAAGTATAAGGCAAAGGAAATAGCTGGCAGTTAAAAATATTACGCCCCCAATTTGAGCATTATTGGCAAGAAGCTAATCATGGATAATAAACACCAAACTCAGGAGACAACGACCCATTAATTTCAGTTGATAAATCAATAAAAGTGACAACAAGCTAACTTCAGATTGCATCCAACCGCCAGAAGGAAAGACGAAGACAAAATATAATGCTAACTAATTACGTTTCTGTCGTCAAAAAATTATCAGTCGTTGGCACTATCCAAGAATCCATAACATTTTTTCTTCCAAAAAAGAAATAAAAGGGAAGACAAAGAAGGTCCATCACGGGTTGTTTTGCTAATTCTTTGCTGCCAAGTTCACTTGGGGGGGGGGGGTGAGAAAAATGAAAGGAACCACCAAAAAAAGAAAGTTTAGTATAAAAAAGAGCCGGGACAAAAACATGGAAAATGAGATTCCGAATATTAATCCTTCCTTCAACAATGACCAATTGTGATTTAAGAATAGGAAACTTCCGATAGGAGCGACCCGCAATGCTTGTGAATGAAGTAAACGAGCATTAACGTGAATTTTGCATTTGACAGTGACTTAAAAGTGTTCCAAAGCGCTGGTCCTAAATAGACAGGTCGATCTTCACCCTCATTAGTTACCTATCTGCTTCTCATGTAGAGAGACAGTTACTTGTTCATCAACGATCTACTTCTAAAATCATTATGTTAGTTTTTGACAGGTAGCAGAAACTCAAGAAATTTACCTCAATTCCCCTGTCATTTTCACGATGCGCTAAGCGAAAACAACCACAACCAAATTCACAGAGCAACGCCGTTTGAATAACTTCTGAAGACTACACTATTATCTGCTTCTACCATGATCCACAAACCAGAATCGGATAAGAACGTGCTCTTCTGTTCGAACGAACTGTATCACCAAATTTAACCCCAGGAAACAACGTCTCCGCTTAGTCAATTCGAAATAATCAACCACAGCGACTCAGAGTCAAGAGTAAAATCCACGCATAAATCTCGATGGTCCTCCTCAAAATTCATTACACGCCTTCCGAAAGTCACTCACTTACCTCTTCAAAGACCCCTCCCCCCAAAAAAAAAAATTGCTCAAAGGCTTGAGTCACTCAACATCCAAGAGCCACTAACATCATCTGAATCCTCTCGGCAAGCTTTGACGAATTTTCTCCAGAAGCCATCAACAGCCAGTGTGACGTAGCTTCCAAGTTCAGAACATCAGATTTAGTTTAGCAAAAAAGAAATGAAAAGATAAAGATGCTGAAGCTTTTATCAATGGGAATAAAGTGACAAAGAACAGAGAAGTAAAAGAAAAGAGGAAGTACCCCCAAGGAATAGAACAGTAGAAATAGTCCAAATTTGCAAGACCCACGATCTGGAAGGAAGAAAACTGCCAAAATCACGACGCCATGTGAGAGAGGGTCGTCGGTTCCTTCCTCACTCTCTCTCACACACAGCGGGAAGGAATGGAATGGAGACCCTGGGAACTGGAGGATCTGACGGGGCTGTCGACGTCGTTGAAGTTTCTAATTCTAACTACATCTCTTTACTTTCCCCTTTTTTAATTATTTTTCATTTATGTTCATTTTGTTTTTATATTCTACTCGCATTAAATTAAATTCATTAACGTAAGGAGTATAATTAATATTCAAGCCAAAAAGATAGTTAATAAAATAAATACTGAACACATTGACTTGCTTTTGGCCCCAAAAAAATTAAATAATTAACTGTATTTTGGGTCTTGGAGATTTTAGATAGTAGTAGTAATAATAATAGTGGATGTTTTCATAATACTTGAATCTCCTACACATGTAAACATCACACAATTCAGTAATTTTAAGTTTATCTTACTATTAATGTCTATATATCAATATTACTAGCACCAATGTTATTTATAAATAGTAATCAACAATATAAAATGCAAAATTTACAATAAATATTACCATTTTTATAATTAAATTATATTATTTTTGACCATATATAAAATAATTTTTTTAAGATTTTTTTCAATGAACATATGATATTTTATTTTACACTGTGCGTTTATTTTATATGCTACTAAATTACTAATATTATTTAAAATACCGCGCTCCCGCAGGTGGGGGACAAACGACTGAAAATGCCTGAATGACCAATTTGCCCCTGCTTCCGCCTCGGCCTATTGGAGATGTCACGTGATAAGAAGGACAAGTGGGGAGGCACGGTTGGCCCATTCTGCGAAACCGGTGAACCGTATGGAAGTACGGTTAGAGAATGGAACCGTATGGAATATTTTATCCTGTCAAACTTCTAACGGTCATCTCATGGAAGCTCTAAATAATACAAAATGCCTACTTATTGGCTTAGGGATTATTTTAATCTTAACAAAAAATTCAAAGGAAATTTTAAAAAAAAATACCATTTAAATTTTAAAATCTCAAATTGAAAATTATTATAAAAATATATTGTCATTTATTTTTCCAGGTAAATTGTTATTAAAATGTGAGAAACAATATTAATTTGAAAATCGAAGAGTGAGTTTGGTCATAAACTCAAAACATGGTATGGTTTTGTATTTGTAGGGCTTTGTAGGGCATATTAGACAAATTTGTTAAGATTTAGTGTTTCAAAAAGTTATTCGAAGAGGCATCAGTATCAGCATTAACATGTCTTAATTGTTGAAGGAGACTTCTTCCGCCCCTTCGGTTTCAAATATGATATTCTCTCCCATTCTTAGTAGAATGACTATTTAATTAATTTATATAAATTTAAAAATTAAATAAATTAGTTATTTAGAATGAAAGGGATACTGTCTTCCTAAAATATCTATGTATAATATTAAATTGTATTTCAATCTATAAATAAATTAGTTTAAAAATAATAATAAACATAAGAAAAAAAATGAATTAAAAGTCTTATATATAACCAAATCCAACTCCAACTAGCTCGTTAGTTTGTCAAACTTACAAATTTAAATTCTGGCAAAGCAAAAGAAAAAAAAAAGTGAAACTTTAAGTAAATTTTACAGGGTCAAATATCATTTCTACTTTGGAATTATTTGTGAATGAGCTAATAATATATACTTTTCCAATCCTTAATATGTGACTTAGTTAATTAATTTGAACATATTAAGAGAGTTAGTTAAGTTATTTAGTATGATGTGCTCCTTTTAAAATATCCTAAGTATCTTTATTAATTTCTCTATCATTCTATTATTTGATTATTGTCGGGGGAATATCAATAAGGTTAATATGAAAAAAAACGATAAACATATTAAATAAGTCTTACATATAGAACTAACATTAACTTTCTAATTAGATTTTATATTAAGAATTGAAGGAGTGGTATTTTTGACTCAATGTCATAGAAGCATTAAAATATAAGCAATACCATCTTTTCCGTTAAAAACACAACATTAACTACGTTGCCCATGAACATTTTTTAATGGGAATAGCAACATTGTTTTATTTTTCAATACTTCCATGACAGTATTGAATCAAAATAAACTTTCAAATATCCATAATTCTAGCATGAATGCTTTCAAGATAAAAATTATCCTTAACTCAAAATTTACACTACCCATCCTTAATATAAGAATTAGCTGATTAATTTGAATACATCAAGAACTTTAATTAAATTAATTATTTATATTAAATAGGTATTATTTTTTCTAGAATATCCTTATTAATCAAATCTATTGATTATAAGTTTATAACTACTATTATTATAAGAATCATTTTAAAATAAACAAATAAATATAAGAGATAAAATAAATTGAATCTTAAATAAAAATCAAATAAATTTTTATATTAAGGATTTGATACTCCATTAATAGACAACCAACAAACCCTGCGACATTAAACATTGACAATAGCCCAACGCTACTGCCTTTCGGTGCAAAAGTCCTTCATGATTTATGAAACCACCCACAAAATTAATTCCCTCCGTACTCTCAGGAACCCTTCTTCTATTTTTTTTTTGGGTCCCATTTTATTTATCCAAAACAGTAATCACCCGAATTTCAGAACTTGGTTCTTTTTATTCACTCACAGTGATCTGCCTTCAAGGAAACAAGTTAAAACATGAGATCGAGCTTTGCTCTTTGGATTTGAATATTCCGAATCATCGTGTCTTGATTAGGCTATCATATCATATATAAGCTTACAAATGTATATTTTTACGAGATATTTCTATCCGTTAAGTAATACTCCTTCGGTTTCTTATTATAAGAGACATTTGCTGCTTATGGCATATTCTTATATATAAGAGATACTTAAAAGTTGTCTCTACTTTTTTGTGTTGATTTCCTATTTTACCCATATTTATTATTTCCAACTCACACTCTCTCTCCCTCCCACTTCTCTTTCTTTTAATAATTTAATTGTTCTCTCTCATACTCTCTCTCCTTATTAATGAGGGTATTTTTGAAAAAAAATTATACTTTTTACATATTAATTGTTCTTAACTAATTTTAACTATTTTTTTGATCAACGTACTTCGGTTATTTGTCTCTTATAATAAGGAACGGAGGGAGTAATTAAGTATTAGCAATTATTATTGGGATAAACTAGACACGTGTCTTGCGCAATATAAAGGGTTTGGAGGATAAGTCTTACTGTTTATAATTTATAAACAATAATGCGAATATCATTTGTTATATTTTTTTTATATTTTATATGGTTAGCTAATTAAGTTGTGATTTGATTTTTCCATTAAATATATCATAGATTAATTTGTTATTTTATCGATAAAAATACAATACGTCAATGTTGATGAGCTGTTACCAATAAAAAGGGTGAAATACAAACAAAAAGAAAAACTAAAGCCAATTTACTACTCCTCCGGTCCTTATTATAAGACCCAATTTGACTTTTTATTTGGTCCTAATTATAGGACCCAATCCATTTTGTCTCTTATATTATGCATTTTTTCCAAGATAATCCTTCTAATAATGATATTTTAGCCAATATACTTAATTAGCAAGGATATTTTAGGAATGACAACACTTATTTATTATAAATAACCAACTTAACTTACTTCCTTAATCTCCTCAAATAAGTCAATTGGGTCTTATAATTAGGACCGGATAGGAGTACTATATTACAATGATTAGTGAGACAGAGAGAAACTGGTAAATAAACAGGTTGAGAGGGAATCTCCCAATCTACCAAATACAATCTCACATCAGCAAGACTAGGAAATCAAAACACATAATTAATTAGAGGCTCATCAAGTATACAATAATACTTAATGAGCTTTTAAAATTTATTTTTTATGCAGAACGAATTCTTTTCTGTTTTCACAAAAAAAAATATAATTATTTTAGAGAGCCATTTCCCGGTGAGCACTTAAACACAATTGACCAGAATTTTAAAAAATAAAAAATATTTTAGAGAACCTTAACACAAAGCATATATAAGTTGAATATGTATGTGTGTAGTGCCTGCATTAAACTCACACACATTAATTCAAATGTAAAGATATTATGAAGACTGAACTCTGTTTGACAATAAGAACAAAAGATAAAACATGATGTTGTGTTTTGGTTTGGCTCAAAATCCCTTTTTGCCGGACAAAACAGGAAAACAACAAATGAAAGTTAAGGTGATGTGGATTTATTATTACTAATTACAACAAGAAGTCAATGACAACCATGATTATTATGCCTGAAAATTCTTGATTGCAAAAAAAGTCTAATTCCACATATCTAATGCCAAGTACATCTAATATACTACTGCAGTCCTTAATATAAGACTCTTTTAATTTTTATTTTAGTCCTAAATATAAGACCCCAATCTACTTTGTCTTCACATTTATATATTTTTTTCAAAGTAGCCCTTCTAATAATAATAGTTCTAGTCAATACACTTGATTAGCAAGAATATTTTAAGAAAGAAAACACCTATTTACGACAAATAACTAACTCAACTACTTCCTTAATCTCCTCAATTAGTCAACTGACTCTTATAATTAGGACTGGAGGTTAGTATTAAGCAGACGAAACCAATTAATCCCTTATTTTCCCTCATATCCTATTATCAATCATGACGATTTGATGTTTTTTTTCTTTAGTTTCTTTGTATCAAACGCAAGAAGATTGATGACAGCACTTTATCGTTGGTCTTATGTCTATATAATCATCGATACTTTCTTGTTAGTTTTGTCAATCACAATCAACCTTGTTTCTTTTACTTCTTTTTTGGTGGACATTATAAACAACTTGATCCATAAGGAAACAGGAAATGAGTTCTTAATTTAATGTTATATGTATTTCTAATTATTGTTGCGGTGTTCTATCAACCATCAGCAATGATTGTCACACTCTTCCAAAGGAATAATTTTTTAAAATTATAGAGAAATGATTTATAGAAGTTTTTTGTTATTTTTAATTAATCTGCACTAACCTAACCATAGTTCCCCTCAAAGATTATCCTTATATTTGCTGAGGTCTGAATTCCTGAAAGTTACAAGTTGATAAAATGAAGGGGAAGGAATAGATTACGTACAG